TTTAAGGAGGGGAATGCAGCACCTTCCGTAAATAGTTGTTGTTATTAGGCGACTCCAAGCGAGGCTATCGCTCATCTAATTAAATGAAGACCCCACTTTTCACAGCGCAGCGGGGTTTGTCTGAATGGGGTGTTTGGGGTTAACTTGTGTAGCGGCTGCGAGACAAGGATATATATACATATATATATATGCTTTACAATACTCCATACAGCCAAGCAGAAAGATAAAAACAGAAAGATGTCAACAAGATAGAGGGCAGTAGCGGACGCTACAGCTAGGCTGCAAAGGGGTGCGTCTGATGCCGAAGCCTTCTTCTTCTTCTTCTTCTTCTAAGCTGGAGGAGCGTTGACGAGCTTGAAGCCGCCGGGAGTCAGGATCTGAAAGACCTGGTGCGGGTCGTAGCGGTGGGCTATCTCCCGCAGCCGCGGCAGGGCGGTCCCGTTCGCGTACTTCTGGAAGACGGCGCCGGTCTGCGTGGGCGCCGCGTCGTTCAGGTAGACAAAGTCGTAGTAGAGGCCGGCCGCCTTCGCGCGGCGGTTGAGCTCGTCGACCATGTCCTGGAAGAAGCGGTAGATGATCTCGTCGTCTTTGGCGTCGGCCCAGTTGCCGCCGTACACGACAGCTAGGTAGAGCGAGAGAAGTTAGTTTTCGTAAGCAATGATGGGAGGGGGGGACTGTAGATTGTAGATTGTAGATTGTAGAAACACACAAGTCGCGAGATGGCGCTTACTCAGAATTCCGCTGCCAAGTGGGTCATAGAGCCCGATCGGATCACCACCCGAGGCTTCGGCGGCTTGGATCATGCCGGGGGTGAAGAGCTGGTAGGTTTTGGTGAGGCCGAGGTCCGTGGTGTCCTTGATCTGCGGGTTGGCGGCAATCACGTCGAAGAAGGTCTGATTGATCAGATACACTGCCTCGGCGCTGGATGCCAAGGCAGCGGACGAGAAAAGCTGTCTCCGGTTCCCGAGCTCGAAATTCACGGGGTTCGTGTCGTTCTCCAGGCCCAGGATTGTCTCTGCGACACGAAAGTCCTGGAATGTGGAAGGTATATCGGTGAAGTTCTTGAGGGCAGCAGGGGCCGGGTCGTCGCCTCGGTACATGTAGATGCCATAGCCCAGTACCTCGCCAGTAGTCGCGTTGTACAGGATCGAGGGATCTGAGTGAGCGGCAGGATCGCTGGAGCCGCCGCCCGCAACAGCATAGCTCGCGAATGCGTGGACCAAGGGATCCAGAGCCGAGGCGTCGTAGTATGCACTTCCTCCCCACATGTATGGCACCGAGAAGGTTCTCAAATCGAAACGCGTGACAATGCCAAAGTTGAAGGCGCCACCCTTCAAGGCCCAGTACAGGTCGGAGTTCTGCTGGGCATTGGCCTCGCATATTGTACCGTTGGCGAGCACAACCTGATAATTGACAACAGTGTTTGCTCCCCAACCCTGATCTTCAAGTTGCGCAATTAGTTCGATTCTGGCGGGGAGTGACCGCTGGTTGACATACCGCTGCTAAAATAAGAGATACCCCCACCCAGAAGGAGACCAGACACTCCGACGGGTCCAAAGCGGCCACCAGCAACGGCCAGATTGTCTCGAGCAAGTACTCTGTAGACGTCCAACCAGCGGTTTCCCGCGCCAATCTGGACCACGGATTTGGATTCGTCTGTGTACCGCACGCTGTTCAGGCTGGTGGTAACCATAAGCACGCCTTTTTCAATGTCGGCTGCCCCCGGGACGGGCATGTGGCCTTGGGTACGAACAGCAAAGGTCTGTTTGGCTGCACTGAGTATCGCCAGGCCACCAGCTACCTCCTCGGCCGAAGCTGGAGCAAAAACACACTTGGGCGTTGTTTGGCAGGTCTGCGACCAGGGCTCTACAGCGTCAAGTCAGCCGCCTCTGCGTATGGGAACCTGATATGCGTGGAGGAGAGGGCCATTACCAATCACATCTTGGGCAAAAACTGCAGATCCAGGGAGAAAGACACTGTTTGGATAGCTTTGGGAGAGCTCATTGCATACATTACAGCCATGATTCCAAGAATCACAGCGACGATGGTACCAAACGTTGGCCGCAAGACCCTGGCCCAGATGGAGAAGAAGAGAAATGACCGAAAAAGCCGAAAGAGAAAGCATAATGACCGTTAATATTGATCACAGAATCGGAATCAGAGCCAACGCGGAGGTATCGAGCAGAGAGGTGCGATGTAGCTGCCCGGGCCGGCATCTTTATGTATAGGCGGTCCCTAGACATCGATTGGCATGCTCATTTTCGAGCTCCCTCCACACGGCGCAGCTGCGGCTGAGATAGTTATCGCAGACAGGAAGTCATGGTTGACCGTGCACGATGAAGGGAGTTCCCATGAAGGGTTTGATAGGTTCAATGCCCGCAAATGGCTCGGATCAGCTGAGCTGAGGCTTGTTTTCATCAACTTCTCCACCTCAGCCGAAAATGAGCCTCTTGAGAGAGAGTATCGAGGGATATCGCCTTGACTGAAGTAAGCTGACCGTCAATACTCGGCCGTAATTTTCTTGCTTGGTGTGATTCGATAATCCATCCAACAGTATCCAGTGTCAAGTCCTCAGAACGAGAAGGATGGGCAAGTGGACCAGAGATCCCTGATGTGGCTGCTTGACTAGCCGAAAGCTCTAACTTATGGTGGCCAGCTTACTCCAGTCGAGACGTTATCGTGGTCAGCCGCAGCTACGCCGTACGACAGAAGCACTGCTATTACCATTTCTCATTCGTCGCGTGTAACGGGTGACAGGCGATGTCAGACGGATTGACTCTGGGTTCCAGATCAGCCGACACGCATCGGCAATTTGCCGTTCTAAGAAATGTCCCGATGGAGCTCTGCAAATCGGACCGGCACATCGAAACAACATAGCCTTGCACTAATTCAGAAATAAAAAAATTACCAGATGGGACCGACCGATCAAGGCTCAATCAGAGCGTCGACGGCCTACGTACACGATCAATTCGAGCTGCTGGGGAGGCTGAACGAGTTTCCGAACTCTGGTCTTCTCCGATGATCTCTGCTCCCTACATGAAGCAGATATTGCTTCCTCGCCGTTGCAGTGACTTGCTGAATGCTGTTATACGCGAGCGCAGCCCTTCCAGTCCAGTGAACGCTACCATACACCATGTCCACCATGTCGACCTTGATTGATACACTTACTTTTCCGGCCCAGCTGTTCGTGCACCTTGAAAGCACTAGCAAAAGCCCTTCAGTGAAAGAGACAATCAAGCCCAGAAATGACACTTCGATCACTCCGCCTCCTACTAAGTGGTCTTACCTCTGCCATCCGCGATTGAAGGAGGTACAGGACGAAGTCGACGGATATTTCCTCGAGAACTGGAACTTCCCAAGCTTCAAGGCGGTCCGCACCTTCCTGGATGCCAAATTCTCGGAGGTGACATGTCTTTACTTCCCTCTCGCACTTGACGATCGCATCCACTTTGCCTGCCGGCTGCTCACAGTACTTTTCCTCATCGATGGTACGTCAAAATGGACTTGGGAAACTGGGCTGGTGTGCCCTTTACTGACAAAGATTAGATGTCCTTGAACACATGTCTTTCGCGGATGGAGAAGCCTACAACAACAGGTTGATCCCAATCTCGCGTGGAGATGTGCTCCCAGATCGGACCAAACCAGAAGAGTTCATCCTGTATGACCTGTGGGAAAGTATGCGCGCCCACGATAAGGAGCTTGCCGATGAAGTTCTGGAGCCGACCTTCGTCTTCATGCGCTCGCAGACGGATCGAGCGCGTTTGACCATCCGCGAGTTGGGGCATTATCTCGAGTACCGTGAGAAGGACGTCGGCAAAGCGTAGGTTTCTCGCTTGGGATTCGAGCGCTCGTGATACTGACTGTCCGGGCAGGTTGCTATCGGCGCTGATGAGATTCTCGATGGGGCTTAGACTCAGTGACAATGAGCTTCAGAGCATGAAAGCTCTTGAAGCCAACTGCGCCAAGCAGCTGTCCGTGGTCAACGACATATACAGTTACGACAAGGAGGAGGAGGCGGCTCGAACTGGACACAAGGAGGGGGCCTTCCTTTGTTCAGCTGTAAAGGTCCTGGCAGAGGAAGCCAAGCTTGGCATACCGGCCACGAAGCGCGTGCTTTGGTCCATGACTCGGGAGTGGGAGGATGTGCATGACAGTCTCGTGGTAGAGACTATCGAATCTCCAGACGGATGCTCTGAAGCTGTTCAGGCGTATATGAAGGGCCTAGGGTACCAGATGAGCGGCAATGAGCAGTGGAGTAAGACCACGCGTCGATACAATTGAATGTCTAGACAGCAGAAATATAGAGTATCATAGCAACTATTGGAGAATTTTAACTCGGGCAAGATACCAAAGAAATCGGGTGCGCGGTGCACAGAACGTGCTAGGTAGGTGACAGCACAACCTGCTTGCCAAAGCCACCAGAGGTTACATCCACTACGGGAGCAACGGCTTCGTTCTGATGGTGTTTTGAGCCTGATTTGTGCTCATCACAATAGAAAGTGAAGCCAATTGAAACATATTTTGAGCCACTTTGACTGAGAGTTTTTCTCTATTGCTTTTTGGGGGGGGATTCTGTCTCTCCGCTTTCCCGGCTCTGCTCTGAATCAACACGAACGCATCTGATCTTTGTTGCAATTCGTTTCGATTCCCGGTTCTGGTTCCGGAAAGACTTGCATCGTTCGTCTCACCCAGCCCCACACCCAGGCAGGGGTGAATTGTCGGTCTTCACCTTTTATGAGATGCTGTCCGATGCAGTGCATATTGGTCTGATATGTGTGAATCTAGTATGGGGATTGTGGCCTTGGGTGAGAACGGTTTAATCGACTCACTCGATTCGCTCTTACCTCTACCACATAGCAACCAACTTTCCCCTCCCATATTTGAAGGAAGGAACTGCCAGGCATAAATACCTACCTACCTTACCTACCTACACCAGCACTCACATTCAAACTTGATCTGAACGGTACTCACCACCACAAATCACCACAAATCACCATAATGGCCAACCCGCTCATTAGCAACCACCACGGCAAGAATGGCAAGTACTCTCAGGCCTTCTTGGAGCAGAATGGGCCCGGAGACGCTCGGCCCACTGCTCTTGATATTCTCAAGGATAACGACCGGATTGGTACCATGAAGGATAAGGTGAGCAAGCTTTGCAGCTGCTGCTGGAGACTGGAGCTTGAGTTAACCATAGCCAGGTCTTTCTTCTCACTGGATCCTCTGGTGGAATTGGCATCGAGACTGCTCGTGCGCTCGCCGCAACCGGAGGCAGAGTATATCTGGGCGTTCGTGATTTGGAGAAGGGAAAGCAGACTCTGAAAGAGATCCTCGAGCCCGGCCGCGTGGAGCTGCTTGAGATGGACATCGGTTCAATGGATAGCGTCCGCACAGCTGCCAAGACTTTCCTCTCCAAGTCGACCCAGCTTAATGTCTTGATCAACAATGCGGGTATCATGGCATGCCCCGAGACAAAGACTGCGGATGGCTTCGAGTCGCAACTTGCAGTCAACTATCTCGGCCACTTCCTCCTCTTCAAGCTCCTCGAGCCGACGCTCCTGTCCAGTTCGACGCCCGAATTCCAGTCCCGCGTCGTCAATGTCGCATCCGCTGGCCATCACATGAGCTCCGTCGTGCTCGACAACATCAACCTCGATGGTGAGTACGAGGCGTGGAAGGCATACGGCAATGCCAAGACCGCTTGCATCTGGATGACCAACGAGATTGAGCGCCGATACGGCTCTAAGGGTCTACATGGCCTCTCGCTGATGCCTGGTGGTATTGCCACGGGCCTACAGCGCCATGTCGATCCGGAAATGTTGAAGATGTGGGCTTCGAGTGAGCCTGCGCGGAAATATGGGAAAAGCCCGGCTCAGGGCGCTGCCACGACCATGACGGCTGCATTGGGCAAGGAATGGGAAGGCAAGGGTGCTGTCTATTTGGAGGACTGCCAGGAGGCTGGGCCGATTCCTGAGGGTGGTACACTGGCGGTCGGTGTTGCACCGCATGCCTTCGATGCGGAGGGCGAGAAGAAGCTGTGGGCTTTGTCGGTCAAGATGTTGAAGCTAACGGAGTAGGGAGGTTGCAGGGGATGATGGTGCTGGAGGAGGTGAGAGGAGACGTGTTTTCTAGCAATGGATTCAAAAATAAATAAAAAGATAAATCAGATGAAGATGCGGCATTGGTCTGATTTGATGCTGGTGTTAATGATCTGATAATAAGGAAGCCTCGGCGTCGGGACCTTTCATGGCCGGTGATTGTAACGGCTCAGAGTGCGCGTGTATCGTTTTTGAATTCGCGGAATATACCTACCGGTATTCGATGACCCACACCAAAGGTGTGTTTTCATTGAAGACCTAATTTAGAAAAAAAGAAGTTAAGAAGAATCCTTTGCTGCGCCAGCTCGGAATTGTTTTTTTTACATCCAACCAACCACCCAACCAACCAACCAACCAACCAAACGGACGGACGACTACCTTACCCGCGCATCGACGATAGCCAGTTAAAGATATTTACTGTATGGACCGGGTAACATACCAAAATTCACACACCCATACCCATACCTATACAGCCACGCAGAGGCACAAACAAAGCAAGCGGAAAGATACCCCACTCCCTACCTCAAACCACAGCACGGCACAGCAACAGCAACAGCACAGCATGGTTTGACGTGCGACACTCTTCCCTTACCTTCTAGAAACAATAAATAAAAAAAAAAAAAAAAACAAGAAAGAAAGAAAAAAAAAAAAACCGGTAGAAATGGCACATGTTGATAAGGATCGTATTGATGAATTTCCAAACTGGCATCTTCGCCTTCTACTATCGTCTTATCGTCGCACTGTCTATCGTCTTATTATCGTCGCATTACCAACCAACCAGCTAGCTAGCTCGTGAAGATAGTGTCCGTTCAGGTACTCTATTAGACGAAAATGACACCTGCCTCATAGTGTAAGCGAAAAGGAAGATTTGGAAGCCGATGAAGGACAGACAATGCGATAGTACGTCACCGGCCGAGTCAAACAATAAAAAAGACTGGATTCAAGCGCGCATCTACATAACAAGCAAACAAACCTCCACCTTATGGCAACAGCAAGGACCCTGTTTCTTTCTTTCCTTCGCCGAAATTTAAATGCTACGACGATAGCGGCCCCCGGCTTTTAAAACCACGAGAAGGCTCCCTCCTCTTCTGCCAATTTACCAAACCTCAAGCAGCAACAAGAGAACATAGAAAGGAAGCGCCAGCACGCGTTCTTATCCCCGGTATTCTTCCACCAGCGGCATAGGGCCGCCTTACTCAGTACTCCGGAGATCAGTAGAGTGAATAGCAACGATTCGCGGCAGGCATCATCATCAAAATCCATACGGGTCAAGATACGGCATATAATCAATCCATGGCATCCATCTGGCATCCATTGGAATGTGTCCTGGGCAGATTCCTTTCCTGGGCTTGATATCCTTGGCTTTCTCCTACGGCTGTATCCTCTGGATATATGTGTGTAGGTGTGCATGACTGGTACATGTCTCAACTGTCGATTTCCTCTGCGGAGGTACGCGACTGGGACGCTGTACGGTCTCCATGGACGTGGCTAGGGGTCACAAGGGCCATTCTTCGTGTCATTTCCGGGGATCTGGTCGCGTTGGCGTGTTAGTCAGATGTGGGTTAACAGAAGTGGAGGAACACGGTGGGCCGGTGGTACTCACTAGTTACTTCTGTCAGACGTGTATATTTTTGTGTCCTTCAGCTGGATTCATGCTTGAAGTTCTGTTGCATACCCGGGCCGGGATTGATCATCTGGGTAGTCCGACCCATTACCTTGATACACTCCATGGCATTGCGGAGCAACGAAAGGTTATCATTATGCCTGGGGTCCTTGAGTTGGTTCACAAGGCCCTGCAGCATCTGGTGCTTCTCCTGGTAGCGCTCCATCAGGCTGGGCTCCTGTGGCTTGCGCGCTACAATCGGAGGGGTGGCAACCCTCTTTGGAGCCTTGTCCAGGTTGGATTGTTCATCACCTGCCTTGCGCTTCTTGCTCTTGGTGCTCCCGGACGGGGGGGGAGATGCGGATGCATTGCTCTTGGTCTGTGGCTGTCCGGGGTCACCGTGCACACGCTTCATGTGGTCACGGAGATTCCAGTGGCGTGGGAAGCCATTGCCCGGAACACCGCGTTCGCAGCCTTCATAAGTGCATGCGAAGGGTTTGTCGCCATGACCGTGCATGGCGTGGGCCTCGCGCTCATGACGGAGGAGACAGGCTGTCGACGAGAACTGAAGATCCTTGCAGGCAACGACCTTGCACTTGTAGGGCTTCAAATGCGAATCCACGAATTTACTGGGCACAGGGTGTGTGGTTAGCTTTGCGGGAGACATGAGAGAGGGAAACATGGTCGTACTCGTAATTGCACTTGAGCTTCTCGGGCTTGTGTTGGCAGTTGGAAGTCGGGTCCTTCTCCCACGGGCAGTGGTAGAGCCCATCGGCTTGGGGAGTCACATTGTGGTACAGGTGGTGGTCCCGGGGAGTGTTATCGACCTCGACATTGGAGCTGACCATCTTCAACGATTCGTCCGCAGTCTCGGCAGTTCCTGGGAGGCGTTGGGGCCTGGCGGCCAAGTCACTGGCAACCTTGGAAGGTCGAGGTCCAATAGGCTTTCTTATTACCCTGTCACCAGTCGCTGCGTAAGGGGGCAAGTCCACCAGATCGGGAGTATCCTGAACATACCTGGGAGAGGTGCCTTCGACACTGGGCGTGAACGGGCTGCCAGTTGCTGATGTTGCCAGTTGGGGAGCTGGTAGGGCCCACGCCTCCTCAAAAAGGATTGGGGATGATCTCTGCGACTCCAGGAAGTCGGTCCCGTTGTCCCACAGTATCGGAGACTCGATGACAGTACCGGCCTGGTACATTTCGGAATCTCGGGCAACTGGATCTTGGCTGGCGGTTGCTCCTGCGGGAATAAAAGACTCACCAGCCACGGGGGAGAACATATTGTTTGGAGGACCCGCAGCAAAGGCCATAATCGGGTGGGCTGCAACGCTACTGGCAGTAGTCCCTCCGTGGAACAAGGGGTGGCTCCCAGCAAAATCCTCTCCTTGGTACTGGAAGTTGTCGAATACTTGCGTTTCCATTTGCTGCAGTGTAGGGGTATACATAGCAGAGCTAGCAGGACTGTTTGACCTGCCTGTGGCATCTGAGCCTGCAGACGACATGTGGTATGACATCTGGGTTACATTCGGATACATCCTCGTAGATCGGCTTTGATCAAACGAGTTAGTTGTCCTCTGTGATTGAGCTCCAACGGAATCTTGGGAAGCCTGTCGAGACATAGACACCGAGTCCATTGGGGTGGATAGCCCATTCTGCCATGGGCTCATGACAGACCCAGAAAACGAGCCTCGTGGGTTATAAGGGACAGACCTTGTCTCCTGGGGGTCATGAAATGAGTTCAGAGCATCAGAGAATCCATTTTGGGTCGGTCCCTGGGGCGCAACTGACTCGTCGTGCAAGTACTGTTGACCTTCACCGTGCCAGAATGGTCCACTGTTGTTACCCTCGATAGGTTCTGTACGATTCAAGGAAAAGCCTGGAGGTCCCTGGAAGGCAAAGTTTGGTTCATGTGGAATGGTGAAACCGCTGTTGGACATTGGGTTAGTGTTTGTGCCTCCACAATCTGCACAGAAAAAACGAGAAGAAAAACCAAGCACAGCGCCAAGGAAACGAAGGAAAATCAACGGCAAGATCAGCATCTTCCAGGGGAGCCTACAACAACCAAGAGTTAGTAAGTCTCTACTTGGTGGAGGAAGATATGAGTGACTACAGACCAGCGTGAATGCCAAAGGGGAGTAGGATCCAGGGTTTCTCCTCCGGAATAGTTGTAGTAGCCAGGAGACCGGACAAAGGGGAGAGGAGTCCAGAAAGAAGGTGTCCATGGAGAGAGAGAAGGATTCTCCATGTCCAGATGGCTTGGTCTGCAGAGAAGACGAGAAGTAACGACGGTCAGTTCATGCGCCGTCGTGAATGTGGGGCAGCTTTCAAGACACCCAGCGGCGTCGAGGTGTACGTACACACGATGGCATAAGTAGATGCCAGTCTTGACCCTGTGTCACCGGCAGGTGACGGTCACTCCCCCGAGTCGGAGCCTACTGGATCGGGCCATTCTTCCTTTGGCCTTGTGAGATGTCGATGTTTGCTACATCTCCTCTGGGTTGTGGATCTCCACACATCATGGTGCTCAATGGCTATTTCATTCCTAGGGCCGGTTCGGGTCGGCTATGAAAATCCAGTGCGGCTGCAGGCCATCTCAATTAGGAGATGCGGTGTGGTCGCTGTCGACATATCAACACCGTCCAGGTTGACGACGATGTGATGGCACAACGTTCCACCTTGCGAAGTCTCCGTGGGTATACTGGGAGGGGGGGGGGGGGGGGTGGAAACATGCAAATAACAACGTAGGCTCCATCGGTCTCCGGAAGAAGTTATAGTCCACGTGATTCGGCGGCAGCCATCACGACCAGGCGGGGGTGAAGCCTCTTGGAGAGACGAGAGATGTTGGCACGCTGGGGAAGTACTCCAGTACTCCATCCATCCGGGAAGCGGAATTCCTTGGAAAATAACCATGTGGATATGTCGACGATGGGTTGGATAGGGCGATACTTACACGAGGCCGCACCGGGCTCTGCCAAATTTCAGTGGTCACGGAGGACGTGTCACCTGATGGGGAGCCTCGGGGGCCAGCCTTGACTGAGAAGTTGGAAGGCAAGATCCGGAGAAGGCTAAGGTTGAGAGACGAGATCCTGGTGATGCACAGGGACAAACCCTCTTCCCCTGGCTGGGTGAGATGTGGGAGCGCGCCCAAAACCAAACATGCCAGTACATTGCTTTCGGACGACAAGAGATCACGCGCGTAGCATAGCTTGAAAAAGGAGATTTAACAACATACCCGGCGGCGCCGGCCTTGGTCCTGACGGAGTTCATCTGTGGCTTGTATCCTTCCATGGTATCCAGCGCAAGGCTTCCACAGGTCTGAGTGTGGACGGCAACCAGAGTCATTGGGGATGATGGAAATGATGAGCACGCAGAAAGAAAAAGAAAAAGAGGCAGGCTTCTTCTGGGGATATGGTCGGAGGGGGTGGTGGTGGTGGTAGTGGTGGTGGAGGTGAAGGTGAAGGTGAAGGTGGTGATGGTGATGGTGGTGAGGGCTGCGGTTCAATGCTGTAGGAGCCCAAGATCTCAGGTGCAGCAGTAGATGTGGATGTGGATGTTGATGTTGATGTTGTTGTCGATGGTGATGATGATGATGATGATGATGTTGGGGGTTGGGGTTGGGGTTGGGGTTGTTGTGAGGAGAGGGGAGAAGGAGGGGAGAGAAGGAGGTAGTGCTAGGGAGGGATCGGTCGTTGAAGAGGAAAAGGGGAATCTGAGTTTTGATACCTACGGAGGGAGCGGGAGAAGTGGGGGGGGGAGATGGGCGAGCTGACACTGACACTTATCCTTCTCGGCGCGCAAGGCTGTGAGACATTTGATGCGTTGTCCGCCATCGCGTAATTTTAGCCAGCGTATCACGGTCCCGCAAAAGGTGGGGCCGGCGTCAGTTGGGATTCTGGACGTGATGCTTTTCCAGCTCGTGCAGATCCCCGTCGCGAATCAGCGGAGGAGGAGTGCAAGGAGTCCATCGTTCCCCCCCAACCTAAACCGGAATCTTTGTGCAGGACGAGCGACGATGACGACAATGAAGCCCGTGAAGCCAATGAAGCCAATGAAGCCAATCGAACAGAGCGGTGTGCCCTCGCAGACCAGAGTACTACATACTACATAGTACTACATACTACGTACTTGTACAGCAAGCACACGCCCATTCCTGCATCTTGGCGCATGGGTGTTGGCGGACAAGAACATCCCCCCATCGCCTACAGAGTAAGTACAGACTACGGAGCAACTAAGTTCCTCCGTGGCTCCGTGGCTCCGTGGCTCCGTGGCTCCGTAAGAAGAACTGGAAGGAACCGGCGGGCCGCTCCTCCTCTGTCAAACTCACTTCCGCCTCAGACAATACGTAAGGTACGTACGTAGTAGTACTACGACCAGCAGCACTCCGCAGGTACACCTACCTAGGTACCGGTACCTGGCCCTGATCTCGGCTACGCTGACCAAATGAGTGTTCTCTGGAATATTCGAATTTCAGACATCCGTCCGTGGCAGGCAGGGAAGGGCCGTGAAACTCTAATTCAAATGCAGCTCTGTATTGTACGGTACTGTACCTACTACTACTACGTAGTACTATCCCCCCCCATGAATAAATGTCGGACCCAGTTTAGGCCCATAAATCATAGAGCGGTGGTTTCTTAATGGCTCAAAGCCCTGTCAACTCCACTGTATAGGCTAAATACTGGCTCAAAGATACTTTTCAAAGCTGAATCCTTATAAGTTGATTGGTTTAAGCCCTGGTAAGATTCCTTGCGAAATTATACTTTCGACATTTATTCATGGGGGGGATAGTAGTACGTACTACGTACCTATACCGGTACCGGTACTCTGTACTGTAAAGTCTACGGCGCACGGAGTATGATCCACTCACATATTAAGTACTACGTACGTACTACGTAAGTAGTACCTAGGTACCTACCTACTATCTCCCCCCATGAATAAATGTCGGACCCAGTTTAGGCCCATAAATCATAGAGCGGTGGTTTCTTAATGGCTCAAAGCCCTGCCAACTCCACTGTATAGGCTAAATACTGGCTCAAAGATACTTTTCAAAGCTGAATCCTTATGAGTTGATTGGTTTAAGCCCTAGTAAGATTCCTTGCGAAATTATACTTTCGACATTTATTCATGGGGATAGTACCTATTACCTACGTAGTATTACGCACCGCCCCCTTATACGAGTTTCAAAAGTCTATTTATATATTTGAAACTGAAAGGATGTAAGGAGGCCTACCTAAGCGAGCCGACAACTACCACGGTACAGGCCTAAGTATTACCCCTCGAGGGTGCCTCAAAATTTCACTTTCCACTTAAACCCCCTGGTTACCCTACCCTCGAGGGGTAATACTTTACGCCTGAGACGTAGCACGTATTCCTCGTATTTTTTAAACTAGCGATAAAGTATATATACGAAATTGCCGAGCTACTTCGCAGTCATAACTATATAAGATAAGCATCCCCCTTGGTGTTTTCAATTTTAATCTATACCATCATCATAGTGCTTTACAATCTTCTTATAAGCTCAATTCGGTAAAACGATCGTTCGCTTTCATTTACCAACTCCATCATGCGTTTCAACAACAACCTCTTGCTCGCTTCTTTCCTCGGCGTCGCAACCGCCATCCGTCGAACTTGCAGGCCCGACACTACTAGCGGCGTTACCGGCACCGGCTATTACACCGTTGGAGACACCGACTCTTGGGCTAATATCGCGGCTGACTTTTGCACCGGCGAAGGAGAGCTGCAAAACATGAATCCTTCCGGTTCGATTGTTTTAGGCCAAATTTTAAAAGTCCCTTGCAAAACTCGAAAGCGCGATTGCTCTAGGATCCCGGGAGACTACAAGGGGTACTATAAGGTCGTCAAAGGCGACGAGTTGTCACTTATCGCGTCGGATTTTTGCACCGATAACTATAATATGGTGTTATTAAACCCCGACATTGATTCTTCGAGCTACATCGTCACTCCTGGCACCGACTTGCTAGTTCCTTGCAATTGGAACTAGCTACAATACCTACGTAAAGGTCTTATCCGCTCGCTCGCTCCGCTGGAATATTGCGGGGCTATGATAAGCAGGAAATGAGCGACGGAATAGGTTTTGGGTTGGACTCTGCTTGAAAGCTGGGACTTATTAAGCATTTAAACTCTTTTTATATTCTTCGACAATAGGGTGGAGGTCAATGTATTTCGAAAGGAAAGAAGTTAGTGGATAGAAATTAAGTCTCTTTTTATTAGAAGATACTAAGGACTTGATTATTAACAAATAAAAACTTGATATCGATAAATCGATTCTCAAAGTGACGTATTTTTTATATATATAATATTTCGATAACTATTATTGCTAATACTTATTCAGTAATAACACTAGGCCATAAGAAGAAGCTTTTAATAAGTGTAGTTATAATTGATTAATTGACTTGTATTTTTTGAAATTTGACTTGTATTCTCTAAAACTAAGAATTGGGGCGAGGTTGTAGTACCGGTACAATATACCACTACGTGTAGTACTTTACCCCTCATTCTCGCCCGCTCACATGCAAAAGACAGTACCGTACCACTGCAATCTGGTGCCTTGGCATCCTCTCCTGTCACGAGGTTGAACGTGTCCGCTCAGAGCTGAACGTCCCCGTTCCCGGCCAGTCAATGATCCGATATTGTGCACGGCATCCAGGCCACCTCCAACCCCAACGGCTTCCATACCTCCAACCGCTCAGACGCCATTCTTCTACTACGGAACTGTACCATAATGAACAACGAGCCTTTGGACGCTTCCGCCTATAGCAAATCGATGCTGCTATCCGGACCGGACTGGCCTGCCTACTCGTTCTGCTGCAGAGCTGCCAAATTGGCGTCACTCTGACCGCCGGATAGCTCTGTGAAGCTTGACCTGCTACGTACTGTAAAAGAATCCCGACATGCTGATCCTCATCTCCAGGCATTTGGTAACAGAACAGCCGAAAATCCGGGCCATCGGCGAGTCACACGTTGATCCGGCTCCGGTTCATGCTCCGTTCTCGGAAACATAAAGTGTTCCGAACATACTTAGGTGCAGTTGGTGACAGAAGTTGTTCCCTTGGCGCTTAATCCGCCTATATTTAGTCGTCATCCTTGATCTTCAGGGTCTTTTTCTGGTTTTAGAGTCGCACACTGAGAGCCGCGTTGGATTATCCGGCAGCACTCATGAAGGCCGAATGTCTAGCCCGTGATATGAGCGATAAATGAACACTCCGCCGCGAAGGCCAAACATTGACTTTTTCATGTCCCGTGGAATCTCAACGAGGTACCAATCATCCAGTATCAGGCTCTGCACCACAGGGCTCTCGGGCCCTTCAAAAGAGTGAACTTGCTTGCTGTGTGATCTTTTCCCTTCGGCCGGCTGGGCAAGATGAAAAGACATTGGCCATCTTTAGTGCTGTGGGTCTCCGCTTTCCTGTAGGTTCCTTCATCCTCTTCTATAGACACAGATGCTGCTTGAAACAATTAGACGCTGAAAACTTCCGGCAGTCGTGCTGCGTACGAGTAACCGTTGTTGCAAACACCGCTAAAAAAAGATGATTTCGAAGTTGGGCTGTTCTGCCAATCTCCTCAATATTACGCATTGATGCATATACAGCGATGTTCGTATACATGGTCTTCGTCCCTGTCTGGTACAGATGAAGAGTGCCTCGAAGTTTGTTGTGCGTATTCTTTATGTTCACACCCAGAAGTTGCAAGTGCGGGGAGAAAACATCCAGCTCTGCTCTAGCAGGGCCCAAAGCGCCTCACGGCTTCGAGGGCTACGGTCTTTTCTCTCGAAATTATCGTTCGTTATGCTTATCTTCCAAAGGTATTGTCTTGCTACACTTGTCCTTGAAAAAAAGATGACCGATAACAAGTAGATATCGATCTAGGACAATAGGCAAGATGGTCTGCCTTGAAAAAAAAAAAAAACTTGGAATCGGTAATACAATAAATTCTTGGGCTATAGACGGTCCTAATGAGAATAGACAGGAACTAGAATATTTAGATGCTGCCCTTAAGCAGTTTTCCACCATCTTGTGGGCTTCTTCTCGTGCGTTCGATTGATGTGAAGAACATGGGGCCTTTGGAGTGAGCTAAGCGAGAAACAGGCGAGACAACAAACAAACGCAGCGCCACGGCAAGCATCCACCGCGAAAAATAATGTGATCTGATGAATCTGATGCCCACGAATGCATTGCTCTAGTGCAACCGCCATCTCGTGAAAAAGGTAAGCTTCGCGATTTGAAAACCCACATGTGACTTTCACGAGACTTGAGCCCCGCCTTTAGCTCAGCCGCGCGATGGCCGATGCGCTTGCCAACCCAACCTCAATTCCCTCGCGTCTCTCAGGTTCTTCACAGCATCCGCCCGTCATCATCGATTCATGCCCCCAAAGAAGATGCAGAAAAGACTGGCGGTCTGTGGCTAAACTTTCCTACTGATTTTGGACCGAGAACTCCCGGGTTTTTATGAGATTGGGACCCTTTCAAGGCGTACTCGTACCATTCCATTCTACTCCACTCCACTCCACTCCACTCCACTCCATTCCACTCTACTCCATCAGACTCCAGTACAATGGCGATGCAGAACACATGCATGTTTCTCCTCTAACAAAGTTTACACTGGATCTCTGAAGGAGATATTGCTTCGCTTGGTCTAGGGCTACTGGGAGAAGTTGAGAGGGAAGCTGCTGAGGTTGGTTCCTGGCTGGGCTGGCGCTATCACCGTTGACAGGTCTGTCTGTCTATGAGTAGCAAACCAACATCGTATAAACGGACAACCGTCAACTAATCCAGTAGGAATCTCTCTCTCGGTATTACTCCCCTTGCACAGACAGTTTTGCTGATTCAATATAGTCGTGCTGGCCACAAATAGAAGTATGTTGCTGGGATAGAGAGAACGGACAACTCTCAGCTGCATCCCGGCCCCCCAGCTGCTACAACAGTCATTGAAGAATCGTGACCAGAAGAATACTTCTCTATCATCCTCTTGGGTGCTACTTGACTTGCCACGCATAGAATTTGCGCATATTCTGGTCGCTCCTGCACTTGTGCGAGTCCGAGCTACATTCCATGACCATATAAAAAGATCGCGAACTTTGTGACACAGGGCGAATAATTCTAGGCCCCAACACCACTTAGTATGTTAAAGCGTCGTTATTGCCCTTCAAGAATCCGTTTCAGACCGACCCTTTACCTTGTCCCTTTATTAACCTCCTACTCAGCATCCTGATTTCACCTCAGCTATTCACTGACCCTCATACTCAAACCCCGATCCAAACACGGATACTTTATTGCATTTGCTGATTGCATGTCCAAAGTTGAAAGGGACGGGACGCTGCGAGATCGTTCCTCAGGCCTTCTTTCTGTGCGCTTCTTTCGCTTGTTAGGCTACTAGCGCCAAGCGCCGGCCTCTACTAGCAAACGCCAACTTGGATATTCTTGTCACCACCTCCGACAACTTCCTCTCGAACTTTGAACTCTCGAAAACCCACCCGATCCAGTCAGTCTACCCAGATGACCAGCCCGGACACAACAAACATGGGAGCCTCTTCGAGTAAGCCTGCCAATATGGAGGTCGAGCCCGACGATACCCGCGAGAATAGAGCAATCAAGCATCTCCAACAACTGTGCGCGCAGTTCATCACCGGCGCATGCACCCAGCCGGGATGCCGCGAACCCCTCGTGTCTGATCCCGAGACACATTACGCAAGATGGTCAGCTGGAGCACAGGAGATTCCACCCCGCACCCAACTTTCCGTAATGGTTTGTGCAAATGGTCACTTGGTTTGCGTTGGCTGTGGAAAGGAACCCACCATCGACCCGAACAAACACCACTTCACGACCTTGGGGGTCATCAACCATGTAAGTAACAGGGAGTGAGAAGATTATCGGCGAGGCCCGGGCAACAAAGAGGGATTTATTCCTATTTCTAATTGTCCTCGAGCGCCTGGGAACAATCTTTAGCCCTTACATCTTTCAGCGGTTGCTGACTGCCCCTCGTCCCGCAGTGCTGCGATGCTGGTAGAATCTCTACCGTCTACTTCCTCCTGGCTCGATTTGATGAGGCTCACGTGCGATGGGCCGAGCAAAATCGAGAAAAGGCTGCCAAAAACGCCAAATCGAGAAAGTCAGCGAAGAAGGCTCTCGGACATGGAAAGAAGGCTCTCGTCGCTGGAGTAGGATATGGCATGGACTCCGGAATGAACGGCTTCGGAAATTTTGAATATGATACTGATGAAGAAGGTTACGAGGTTGAGTATTTCCCCCATCATGTAAGTATACCTATGTCCCTGCACCTTCCGGACATCTTGATTTGCGCCGTCGACTGAGTCCGCACAGCGCCCTCTCCGACGAGACAATAAGGAAGACGAGCGAGAGGAAGAGCAGATGGAGAAAGATATTCTAATGAGCGACACGGTCAAACTCCTCATTGCTTGTCTGCCTGATTTCTCGTCCGACGCCTCCGCAGAGCTTAACATGTTCCGATTGAGCACCCTATTTGACAAGCTTACAGAGATGATTCGAAACGATTCGATCGTAGATATCACGGAGAGATTCGACGTCTACAACTCGATTACAGCATTCATTGAGAAGATTGCACGCCACGATGAACTAGTCCAACTCCTTTCCGAGGAGCGACCAATCATTGTAGATCACCCCGGAATCAAATCCCTAGCTTTTACACCGGCGAACTCGACTTACAGTTCTCCAAAGACTTATTGGTAAGGACCCGATATTCATGACAAGTGAAAGAGCTAACGCGGCTTAGTTCTGCCCCATTCGTCGGTAGTTACGGTAATACGTTCCTTCAGGCCAAGACTTTTCTCAGTATGACCCAAAAGACTAAAGCCAAGTCCGACACTCCTGCCACCTTCAAGAATACCGAGCTTCTGCTGTCGAACATGGTAGCCTGCTTCCAGATGCTTGATAGAACAGTCAAAAAGCCAGACCCTGCCCCTCAAAAGGATCCCGAGGTCGAGGCAATCTGGTCCCGATTCGCAGAGGAGAATAGACTTACTTTTACGGATGAGGTCTTGTGCAATCACCGAAATGAGATCGAGTTCAACACCGTCCAATCCTCAAACAGAGGCAGATTGAACACAATCAGCAAGGAGATCGCTACTATGAAGACTTCGTTGCCGCCTGGAGTGTTTCTCAAAGTAGCCGAGTCCCGGTCAGATGTCATGAAGGTTCTTATGATTGGTTCGGAGGGATCACCCTATGCTGGAGGACTGTTCACTTTTGATATCTTCCTGGACTCAAATTATCCGCAACGGCCACCAAGAATGACATTCGTGATGAAGGGCAACGATGACGACGGTGAATCATTCAACCCAAATCTCCACCTTGGAACTGGCACCGTTTGCTTGTCTCTTCTCAATACTTGGCCTGGTCATCCCTCCGAAGCTTGGCAGCCTGGTCGAAGCACAATTCTCTCCGTCTTGGTCAGCGTTCAAGCCATGATTCTCGGTGCACCCCTGCCTTGGGAAAACGAGCCAGGACATGAAGGCAGTGGCCCAACACCCACGGTCTTATCGCACAAGTCCCGCGTGCAGTCTCGAACAATCAGATTCGCCATGATCGCATGGCTTGAGAACAAGTTCGAAACTTCCCACGAACACGTCTGGAAGGAAATCAGTCAGACTTACTGGAAACACAATGGAACAAAAGTGCTGCAATACGTGAAGGAGTGGGTTAAGGAGACTCCGGGGCTACTCTGCTATGGGCAGACCGATTACTGTGGGTGCTGCTAGACTTCCCTCTCAAATCAGTTATACCAATCATCCTGCCGTGACACTCACCGCTCGAATGCTGACATCTGTACTGTAGGGGCTCGTATGCGTCATCTGAAAGTGGAAGCTGCCCCATCTCCACCCACGTGCAATTTGGTCGAGAAGCTTTCAACCCTACTGGGAATCGAATACAAGGCAACCGAATTTGAGGCGCAAATGCGTTCGGCTTTGGCCCAAACCAAGCGCAAGGGCAAGGCACCGGGCGGCTCTGCGAAGAAGATGAAACTTGAGTCCAAGAACGCTGGATCTATCTCTGTCGCTGCCAAAAAGTGGGTTTACACAGGCCAAACAACACAGAAGGTGGTCAAAAAAGCTTGCAAGGACTTTGGCATCGGTTTCAAGGGCGTGAGTAAAAATCTGTTCCCAGCCATTGGTTGCACCAGGAATGGCCTCGATCCTATTTCTCCAAGATACTTTGTTTGAGGAGGGCATAAGTTCTAAGGCTGACTTCGTTTTTGGAACCACTGCTAACATTTCCATAGACGATCGCAGCAAGTGTTGAGCGACTAGAGGCTCATGTGAATGAGGACCTAGAGAACAAGGACGCGAAGCTTGTTCTGGAATGGGGCGAGAAGCAAGCCAATCCATCCGCGGCAGGTCATCAAACGGCTTCTCAACCATACGGCTGGATTAACGAGGAAGGACAGCTATTGACCGACGAAGAGGTCACTGATTGGGCCCAGAAGCAAAAATCAAGTCCTGCAGTTCCGGGAGTGCAGAAGATTACAATTCCTGCAGGGCTGAAGTCGATTGCCTTGGCGAAGGCTGAAGACATCATGGCGTTCATGAAACACACAGGTCAGACCTTTGTCCCTGCACCAACGGGGTGGGCTCACCTCGCTGTGGCAATTGCAGTCCCTATTCACGCTAGCCAACAGGGACTGGTCATACCCATCATCCCTGGAGCACCGATCCTATACAACGCTAATATTACCCCGACGCCTGCTACTACTTCTGCTACCGGCATTGCTCCTCCTGCTGTCGCACCACCACTCAAGATAATGAATTCCATCTGGTCGAGCGAGAGTGCAACCGAGGAAGATTACTACTCAGACAGTGACGATTGCGGAACAGAAGAGCTCGAATGATTGGCTCGTGGTCGATAGGGGGCGTTGCTGGTACATGGTATTTCGAAAAGATTTTCGGGCTCTTTGCCAATGATACCCGGATTTGTATGATAGAGGGTGGTGATTTGTTTTTGTTTTTGTTCTTTTTTTGCATCCACGTCTGCTGCCTGGGGGGCGGGGAGGGGGCAGCGTGGTTTGGTTTGCATTTGGGGAGGCATCATGGGGGGAACGCAGCGTCGCGCAGCGCAGCGTTGGTTTTGTTTGTTCATATCTCGCCTGGTAAAACTGCAGATATCCTCATGGAATAAATACACGCTGGCTCTTTTCACCCGTGGTTTAATTTTAATGTCTTGTATTGTGCTGGAACTTCTTTCACGAGGCCTCTTTCCTTTTCTTTTCTTTTCTTTTCTTCTCTTTTTCTTTTCTTCTGCTATTGTGCGATTCGTCCGTCACACACGAGAGAATGGGTGAGTGACTGAGCCTGTTTCGAGAAGGTTCAACTGGGCTGTCAGAGCTGGGTGATGGCATTAGGAGGCTTATACCTATACCTATACCTATACCTATACCTATACCTATACCTATATATATATATACCTATGTATATACTTATATACCTATATAGATATATATATCTCTATATACCATATGGGTTCACATCTACGCACGGGAAGATCGAACCCAGGGCAGGCAGATCTTCACACGTTGCGGGTCGGTCTCTCTCTCTCGAGGGGCTGGCTCCCGGTACCTACTTGTTGAGAGCTTGAAATCCAATTGCGGGCGCTGGAGCAGAGACTGGCTGGGGAGGAGGGAGGAGGGAGGAGGGAGGAGGGATCTGTTGGGATCAGCTAAGCAGGAGGTGGAATCTGAGGTTTGGGGTTGGGGTTGGGGTTTGGGCTGCTCGGGAGACCTGGTATGGATGGATGGATGGATGGATGGATGGATAGGCGGTTGTGGTTGCGGTTGTGGTTGTGGTTGTGGGAGTGGGAGTGGTTGTGGTTGTGGGAGACTCTTTCTGTTTGGTCGTGAGTTTGATAAGTGTGGCGTTGGGGCTCTCGGACTACTTTTCGCAGATGTGATGGGGGTTGCATTGGACTGGCTAGGTATTTCTACATCCGATACAGTACTGGAGTGGTGCTTGGGTTGTCATCGGTGAGAGCTCACGATGTGAGGGGAGGGGCGGACGCAATTCTCTGCGGGAGGTTTTCATTGATTTGTGCTGCCGACTTTCTATAGATAGATCTCTTGTCCCAGAACGCCCAACCAACCCCCTTCTCGATAGGCCATCTCCCCTGAACAGTTGATTTTATCCGGGTCCGATGCGAGGCATGTCGTGATGCTCGGACAGCTTCGAGAGGTATCTATTCAGCTCCTCTACTCGCTCCTTGTGCGTCTTGACGCCCTCCTTCTGCAGACGCTCAAGTAACTACAATCGTCAAGTCAGCGACGTCAGCTCGATCTAAATCCAGCCTCTCTTCCCAATCCAATCCAATCCAATCCGTGGAACCTTCCCGGGGAAGGAAGGGGGGGGAACATCAAGATGTGCAATCAAAAAAAGTCTATGTATGCATACCCTCTTCTTCCGCATCTCCTCATAAGCCCTCTCACTCGCCGTCTTCCCACACCCCCCCCCACCGCCGCTCCTCCAACCCCCTCAAGCGCTCCTCGTCAATCCCCTCCTCCTCCTCCTCCTCCTCCTCCTCCTCCTCCTCCCCACCCTTCTTCGCCTTACCCTTCCCTGTCACGACAGCCTGCGAGGACACGGCGTCTCCCTCCTCCTCGAGCGCAGACTGCAAGGCTGATTTCTTGGATGCGTTGGACGTTTCGTTGGTGCTCGTCTTTGGTCTCTTCTTTTTCTTCCTGATGCCGGCGGGCGCGCCGCCTTTGAGTTTGAGGCCCCCGCGGACGACGGAGGCGTATTCGTCGTCGGGCATCGTCGCTTGGAGGGAGGTGGGCTGGGGAGACGGCTGGCTGCTGGGAGATGGAAGGCCCACTGAGCTAGCCTATGTTACTGCCGGGGCGGTGTGTGCTCGGAACGCTGGAAGAGGATAAGTGGGTTGATGTACAGACCAGACTTCGCTTGCCGGGATGGTGTACGGACTTTCAAAGCTTCATATTTATCAAATTAGGTTTTTTTTTTTTTTTTTTTGTAATGAGGGAAAGGATTGTGCTTATGTTGGAGAAATACTTATTGCGAGTTCTTACAAAATAATCTTCCTGGGTATCAGAAGCCGATGTACGAAAGTCGAATGAAGACGAAGTGAGGGTTACTCTGATGTCAAATTCTCTGATCGATAATGGCATCAGACGGAAGTGATGCAAAGGAGAAGTAACAAGACGGACACAAGAACTGCCCTTCGAAAGGTGTTCTACACACAGTGTGGGCATCCATGTGTCCCAAATGGACTTTAGGTCAAATACGGACAAGAAAAAAGCAGCTCAATGCCAGTACTTCGGCGCCACACCCTTCACAACCAACCACGCCTTGTCCAGAGCCTCCAGCACATCTTCCGGCAGCGGGCCTTTTTCTACGTCGTTCAGATTGTCCTCTAGATGCTTCACGCTGCTAGCTCCGACGATGATTGCATCTCCGCTCTCTTTCTTCAGTAACGAGTGGTGCCTAAGCCACCTCATTGCCACCTCCGCAATCGTCAAGCTGTGCTTCTCAGCAGCAGCACGGATGATGTCCAACGCGTCGAAAGTCGTCTCGTTCCAGTACCGCCCCTGGTGCTGCTTACCCTGTTGGTGCCGATGTCAGCGCCGGCGCTTGAGCCCATCTCTGAGAATTAGGGGTAGACAAACACACCTGCGCATGCTTCGGATCGAATCGTGACCCGGGCTCGAACTCCTGCTGGTCACGCGTATACCGCCCTGTAAGGAAGCCCCCGGCCAGCGGCTGGAACGCATACAGCGAGATGCCGTAGTATCTCAAGCAAGGCAGGAGCTCGGCCTCGATCGTCCGCTGCAGGGTGTGGTAGACGCCCTGGTAGACGGTCGGCTGGATCCAGCCGTTCCTCTTGCAAATCTCGCAAATGTGCGCCACCTCCCACGACATGAAGTTGCTGAGGCCGAACCTGTTGAAGAGCCCTTCCTTATGCAGCTTGTCGACCTCGCCGAGGGTGTCTTCGAACGGCGTCTTCCGGTCAGGGCCGTGCAGGTAGAACATGTCGATTTTGTCGGCCTTGAGCGCTTTCAGACAGTTCTGGAAGCCGCGACGGACGTCGGCGGGCGTGAGGGTGTACTGGTCGTTGGGGGAAACGGGGAGCCCGGCGTTAGGGTAGAGCTTGGTGGCCAGAACGATGTTGCGCTTCTGCCAGTCGAGGGCGCCGAGTATTTCCTCGCTGGACCCGTCCCCGTACATACGGGCTGTGTCTATCTCGCTGTAGCCGTGGCCTTGAAAGGTGTCGAGCAGCGCGATGGCGCCTTCGACGGTGTGGACGCGTGCGCTGAGGGTATCTTTGGGGGAAACGTGAATCAGGTTGATCTGATGTGACCTGCTCGGGAAAACTTACTGGGCTTGCCAATGGTCATGGCGCCGAAAACGATCTTGAGGTCTGAGGGAGCCATGGCGATGGGTAGGTTCTTTGTGTTCTCGATCAATCGCTTGGGGGGGAAGACGTAAACGAGACTCTGGCTGTAGGAGCGGGGAGTCTGGGGCCATCAACACATATATGCTTGTGGCCCAAAGCTTGGAGATAGAGACAGACAAACTTCCTACTTCAGTAAAGTCCCCCTTCACTCCTAAAAAGACTATCGCTAATGGTCGTAAAAGCTGCTAAGTGAATGTGGGGTACGCGGGGTAGCTCCAAAAAGCGGATGTGGAGTAGTAGACTTGGCGAGTACACATTCCGCTCGCAGACCTGCTTTAAAACCTTGCTCTTTGGCTGACGGTATCGTCAGATTCAGGCAGATATTCCATACCATTGTGGACATTGAGTGCATCGTGCAATGTTGGAGCTGATTTACTTGTTGACGTCCAGTCAATAAGCGAGTGCAAATTTTCGCTTACGGAGAGAGGATGTTCCCAGCAATCAATCATCCTTGGCAACATAGGTCAGACGCAGGGCCGTAGCTCGAAAATTTAAGCTTACCGGCGTAATTCATACCGCCCTGAAACATTTGAGCTAATGCTGGTCAGGTCAGTAGATTTTTAGTTGCGTGCGCCAGAGCTGATCATATAAGAAGAGGGGGGGGGGGAGGGTTCTCAAAGCCAAATTGTGAATACACTCCTGAGCTGAACGCCTCCAACCATCGATCTGAGACAACGGACCGGTGAAGGATCCAGTTTGCGATGTCAAAAATATAGTTATTTGATCTTCTCTGCACTGACGAAGTCTTCTTTGGGATGTGTATATCCTGTTCTGTCGCCCTCTACGTACGGTAAGGCTCGAACTTCGTCCGGATGCAATACTCTCTCTAGCTTTGTTGCGCTATAAGCCCTCTATGTATAATATGATGATCCACTGTATCGAGACTTGGCATAAAGTGTTGAGGGATTAGGTAGTAAGAAAAGTTGTCATTAAGGACCGAGTGAAGGGGTAGTGGTATATAATAAAATGACCGAGACATGCCTGTAGTCCCAAAAGTACCTTCTAAGCGAAAACATCGCTAGCCAAGAATTTCGGGGATGGTATATATACTCAGCATCTAGCAGATATCCTCAATCTTCTGCTCAACTCCGTCATGAGCACCGAGATCCAGCTTCAGCGTGCGGCCGAACAGCTCCAGCAAGATCTCAAAACAGATCTTCGTGATTGCTGGGTCATAGCGACCTTTTGAGAGCTCATCGCGAATAAAGGCATCTGCATGCAGTCCATCAGTCCCGATTACTGCAAGAAGATGGGGGTGGATAACATACGTTGAGCACCAGCAACCTCGTACCAGCTGAAAATCACCCCCTTCTCCCTCAGAGTTTTCCTGATCAGATCCCGTCCCTCGGGAGGCACGTGGTTATCGAGCGTTCCGTGGATCATAGCCAGCTCAGCCTTGATCTCACTTGCGCGTGCTAGGCTGTCGTCTTTTCTACCGAGACCGAGGGTCGCGCTGTGCAGATCAGTCGCGAAGTAGGTGACTGCTGCTGAGACGCGGGGGTCAAGAGCACAGCGGTACGCGAGGTGGCCGCCGAGACACATGCCTGTACTGCCGATTCTGCCGTTACAAGTTTTGAGAGAAAGGAGGTGGTCGATTGAGAGGGTTGCGTCTTCGTCGTAACCTGCTAGTGTCTGTAGGGTGTGAACTGGTGGCTCATTATTCGAGGAGAGATGGGTCATGAGATTTTTACCTTCTTGATCTTCCATTCGTTACCGGCATCTGTTCCCGGTCCATCATAGGCCAGGGCTTCGGGTCCAGTAAACTCGTGGTAGGATGAAGGTGCCGCGACGATATAGCCTTGGCCGGCAATCTGTCGAGCAAATCTCGCAACAGGTCCAGTGACTAGAAGATAATTAGTCCAAGAATCCAAAATCATAAAAGAGATCAGTTCTGTAGCTTGAAGCTTAGTTTCAGCTAGGGTAACGAGCTGGGTGTTGCGACAGATCTTCAAACATGAAGCATGATATTGTCGACTATCCGCCATACAGAAGCTCATCGTGCGATCCTCAGCTGCCCAAGCACAGACGTTGAGCAATCAACCCTACCTTGATAGATCTCACTAAAGAGCACTACACCAGGGAACCGTCTGAAAATGGTTCTCAGTAACATGACCAGGCCAGACAAAATCGAAGCACATACGCGTTTGGATATCCGGGAATCGTTGGATGAAATATGAAAATCCCTGGCGTATCATCAGCTATAATGCCTCCGACTGCGGAATTTGATCAGGATCTCACTCATGGAACCCTCTTTGCCATCCGCCTTCGTTGCCACATCTTTGTGACTCTCTTGGATCAACATTCTGACGTTTGATGGCGAGATTGAAGAATCGAGGAGGGGGATGTTTAGAAATGGAGTGGAGAGAGGAGATCTTCGCGGGGATGATGAGTCAAGGCTGAGCTAGGTAGAGGAAAGAAGGGTCCCTGGGTTTCTTTGGCCAAGGGCGGTTGCAGAGTCTATCAAATATATATAATATATAATATAATTATTTAAATATAAATCTCTCTCTCTCTCTCTCTCTCCATGTCCTCTATTGCGAGTCCGCCATGATGCCATTGTTGATCATAAGCAGATGACGCTGCGGGTTAACAAATAATATCATAGGAATTGCAAGATTTCACATAGGAAAGAGAAGAGTGGTGCTTTAAGCTTCTAAAGCCTGGCTTCAAGCTGGGTAGGGCTGAGATTGGCTTCTCGCCAGCTTCTTTGACAAATTTTTCACATTAATTAATACGTTGTATGAATATGTTGACTTGATAGCAACGCATGACAAACTTTCCGCTATCTCCTTTCCAGATCTACATCACGTGATGATATAAATAAAACAATACTTGAGTCCTACGGTATGGAGACTGCGAGTATCCGTTCGAATATTAAAGCTGGACAGGAATCTTGGCTCAAGTATTATTGGCTTTTGTCTTTACGGATAGCCAGAAAATCTCCCGTCGAGGATCCCGAGCTAGCCAAAATTGTTCTGCGATAAGGAGTCGAGACGGATATTACGCTTCCTCCTCCTCCTCCACATCCATCCCACATCTGATCCGCGGTCCAACTTCAACACACCCTCCTTTTCAACTGTGCCATTCTCGATCCCCTCCATTCTTGCCTTCTCTGTTAACTTTAACATTTTGCGACTTTTCTCAACCTCTTGCAACCGTCGCAGAGACTCTCCCATCTAGTTTCGGCCGAAGACGAATAAGGAGCCTCCCAGTCGCCCAAGAGCCAATCCAGAGCATCACAAGGCACGCACTCGAAAACAGTATCTGAACCCTACAAGACATACACGATAGAAGGGCGATGTCGAGCGTGCGAACAAGGAGGCAGGCAGCTGCGATATCTACACCCTCAACACCCACTCCAGCCCCAAAAGGAGAGAAGCAGGTCGTCATGAATGGAAACGGGTCAGCACACGCGCCCGCGAAGGAGGAGCAACCGCACGAGAACATTTTCCTGTTCTACCCAAATGTAATCGGTATGCCAACGTCCCAGACGATTCAGAAAATGGGCTAATGGGATTGTAGGCTACGTGCGGATCGTGCTGGCATTTGCGTCGTTGTACTATATGCCACTGCATCCGCGAACCTGTTCCTTGCTCTACAGCATCTCCTGTCTCCTCGACGCTCTCGATGGCTACGCTGCGCGATACTTTGAACAGTCGACACGGTTTGGAGCTGTACTTGATATGGTGACGGATCGGTGCACGACGGCGTGTTTGCTTGTTTTCCTCTCATCAGCTTGGCCTCGTTGGGCTCTGCTCTTCCAAGGTCTGATCTCTTTGGACTTGGCGAGCCACTACGTTCATATGTATGCGAGCTTGGTAATGGGTGGAACCGATACCAGCCACAAGAAGGTGGATAAGAGCCGGAGCTACATCTTGAACTTGTACTACACGAACAAGGCGAGTTTGCCCAGTCTATTACCGAGTCCTGCAAGAAGGCTTGCTAACAGGAACTGTGTAGACGGTTCTCTTCCTTTTCTGCGCTCTTAATGAAGTCTTCTTCATCGCCCTCTACCTCCTCTCCTTCTCCTCGCCCCTCCTCTCGCCCTCCCTCCTCCAGGTTAGCAACAACGGCACCGGGGCCTCAGGTGCCTCTCTTCAACCCGGCAACCCTTCCAACCCATCAGCCTCCTTCCTGTTCGCCAACCCTCACAGTGCCGGCGCGCTAGAGCTGGCGCGGGCCAACAAGATGGACTCGTTCATCCCCTGGGTCATTGCTGGTGTCAGCTTCCCAGTCATGTTTGGAAAGCAGATCATCAACGTCGTGCAATTAGTCAAGGCGTCCAACTGGTTGGCAGAGGGCGACATGGAGATGAGGAGAGCTGCTGGCTTGCCGCGCAAGAAGAAGGTCAACTAGACGGCACTTTGGGAACTTGCGCCACGTTGTCCCTGTGATCTGGGTGACGTCAAAGTTGACTCCAATTGGATGGTCTTTTTGTGTTCATGTGGAGGAATTTTTTCTGAGCTCGTCGCCTGCGTGGTTAGGTCTGGACGCTAAGGGCTCACCTTCTAGGCTTTTTTTGCAATATTCACTTTGTTGTACTTTTAATTAGAGACGGTCGAATGTCCTTCGATCGGAGGACATTGACGCTTACGGACTCCTCGGATGGGGCTTCTGATTTCTGCTGTTTGTACACTTGTTCTCGGGGGCCTCTAGTCACCGCTATCAGCTATATAAGGTGGTCACGGGCGCGTGTTAGAGGATCGGCGTTGCATGAAGGGCCCTTTCGCTACTTCCCTAGGATGGAGAGGAGGAAACATTTGGATGGTTACAGTGCTAGATACTAAAACACATAGGCGATAAAAGCGAATAGAAGATGTACACGATGTGTCTTTCCTGGCTGCGTGAGTCAGGTGAAGGAAAGAAAGCACGTACGTAAAGGCAAAGGTTGAAAGTCGCGTCGGGATCGATTATCTGAGACGGGGGTGGCTTGCTGGTAGACTTTGTGGTTTCGCGCGGGCCTAGAACAGATCTGCCTCGCTGATATCCAGCGTGGCTAATTCTAGATTCGATCGGACTGCAGGTCTGGCTTAGACAGCGAAACAAACACATTCCTCGCTTCACTACTCTCTCTCTCTCTCTACCTTACCTTACCTTACCTTACCTTACCTTACCTTACCTTACCTTACCTTACCTTACCTTACCTTACTCAATCCTCCATCTACTTGCCATCGTCACGCTTCTCTGAGCGTGGCGCATTCAACTCAGCTCGTTGAATTCATTCTTCTCAATTACGTATTTGATGCTGGCTTCCCCCGCAAAGTCAAATTAACTTACCTACTTAAGTAGTACTTAATAACATATACTCCGTATCATAAAGTCATAAAGTACCTAAGTCTGAGTTTCCGGTCTTGTCCTGTATGCGAATCATAAGCGACCCGGTCCCAGCTCGTCCCATTGGCATCCGTCACTCTCCAATGCGAAACGCACGAGCTCTCCGTCCAGCAGCTCAGCACTCCACAGCACTCCACAGCACTACCATCACCACTCCACCCCTCCAGCTCCCACACCGTATCTTGGGAATCCAGACTTGGGACTCAGGACTGGGTCACAAGCTCCGCCTTACCGACTGTGCCGTCTATTTCGTGAATGCCTCTCACTCCTCGAAGTTATTACTCGCTGTATCTGCCACTGAGAGGCGCCGTGTGGTGCCCAGCTGGCCAGCTTCCCCATCGGCACCACCATTTTGACTAATCGAAACATGTCGGAATCGTCACCCCCGCCGACCTCGAGACGCTTCTCGCCTACCCCAGTCGAAACGACGGTGAAGAGGGTACGACGATTCGCGGCAGAGCCCGTCGAGACAACAACTCGGAGCAGTAAGAAGGAGGAGAAGAAGAAGGAGACTTATGGCGGGGTTGACGCGACGGACTTTGCGGCTACTGATGCCGCTCCTAAGAGGCGGTTCGCTCCCGAGCCCGTCGAGACAACCTTCAGCAGTAGCAGACAGCCTAAGCCTCTCCCTACGTCGGAACCTATCCCAGCGTCAATTCCTCAGGATTCTCCTAAAGAGCATACGACGCCGAGGCCGAGGAGACGATTTGTGCCGGAACTCATCGAGACGTTGAAGAGATCCAAGAAGGCGGGTGACTCAAGACCCGCTACCCTACCTACGGATAAGGTGAATTCGCTTTCATGTGATGAGTAGCTCCAGATTTCAGAGTGCTAATCGTTGTTGGCATATCAGACCGACCTGACGCCAGGTGTGCCAAACATATACACACGGCCGAAGAAGAAGTCCCGCCTGCCTGCCGTCTCAGCTCCCCCCGATAACATTCCAAACGAAAATTCTGCACATTTACAGACTACTTCCCCCTTACCGCCCCGGCGGCAGCAATCAATGCGTCCCCACCCGAATTCAAGACGGAGCACGAGACAAAACTCCTTCCAGCCTGAGCTGGAAGCCATAGTCTCCTCGGACGAGTCCTCGGACGAGGCGGAAGTAAACCTTGAGGATGAAGAGGGCTATGGCGATGATGAGGGCACACCGTCACTGTCGGGATCATTCGGGTCCTCAGAAGATTCCATGATGAGACTTCAACTAGCACGGACACGAGAGAGCTGCGATGATAGATTCTCCGGATATCTATTGGCTCTGGCAGCCAAGGCGGCAGAGAAACAGATGCGAGAACAGGCGCTGGCAGCATTCCCCAACGAGTCCATGCACCATATAGTCGAGCACTTCTACGACAGGGAGATAGAAGGTGCCTCGGATGAGGAATCCGTCGAGGGCGTAGGTCTATTGGTCCTCGACGACCCGAAGCTGGACACCATTTGTCGCAAGTCAACAGAGGTAGGTTGGGCCGCCAAAGAGATGCAACAACACCAAGAGAAGCTCAACCGTCTCCGCGAAGACGAAGTCAACGCCAAAATCGCCGCCGAAGCCACGCAACCCACCTTTCCGGACCCCTTTTGGACCAATGGCATGACAGTCAAAACTTCTGCTCTAGCACGCGCTCAAGATGAGCCCATAGATAAGCAGAAGGAAGCAGAGCTTAAACGCATGCGCTTGGCAGCCTCTCCGCCCATGCTCGGCTCCGATCTCAAGTTCCGGATGTGCCCGTCTCCCAAGGCCACAAAATTTGAGAGCGACCAGCGCATCAACGTGCAGCAGCCCAACCGGGACGAGAATGGCGGCGGTCTCTGGGGTGGCTACTGCGTTGCAGAGGAGCCAGGGGAATTCCTGAGTCCGAGCATCAATAAGCAGCCCGCGCTGATCCACACCCCGCTCCCGCAGGGTAGTGGCGATGGCGACCCGTTTTCTTCCGCGTTCTCTAATGCTGTGCCGAGTGGTGCCAAGACGCCTTCTAGACCTGCAGGAGGGCCACGGATGTTGACTGGTATCGACGACAGGCTGAAGGCCGAAATGCTGAAGGCGAAGCAAGATGAGGTGCTGCTGGCGGAGTTTGACGCTACGTTTGTTACGCAGGTCTATAATTATCTGAGTCTCGGTTACCCTTCGTTAGCGCGCAACTATGACGAAGAGTTAGCACAGGTCTCTCGTGTTCCAATTGAGGAGCTGAGGGCTGAGGATTCGAAAAAGAATGCCAAGGGTTACATTGGTATTACTGAGGGGGTGAAAGAGGAGTACTGTCCGCGGTGGAAAGCGCTCAGGGTGTATATCCTGGAGTGGGCGAGACAGCATCCAAGTATGAGTAACGGGGCTGCGAGCCCGGGTGCGTGGGGTGTAAGGGCGAGGAGGGGGTCGTGGGCTATCTGATCTCTGCCTCTTGGCTTATACTGTCGGGATTGGGATAGATGTGGCCTCAAGTGGTAGGAAGGACATTTTTTGTCACTCACGAAGAGCCGGGAGATGGAAAGGAAGGGGCGTGCTACGAAATTTGAGAGCAAAAAGGATAAGAAAGAACAAGCAAGCGAGGCGTTCCGGGGAGTATCTTACAAACACACAACACATCTGTCTACGACCAAAATAACGCAACGAGAGGATTTGAGGGAAAAGAGGAGGGACGGAGGGAGGGAGAGAGACTGCGTATGCAAACAGTAGCATTCTATCAATGGCGTAGCATGACAGACAGTATAACCATTTGTTCGGTTTTGCTTTACTCTGAATTTCACCTTTACATTCTGACTTTACTCTTCTCTTGTTGAACTCCATATTTATTTTAGTTCGTTGTATTTATCATTAGGAGTCCTTCTTTCTCGTTCCTTCTCCTCATTCCTTCTTCTCATTCTGCGAATATTTTTGGGGGACTTGGAGGGGAAAGGGAATGAATGGGAGGAAGGAAACAAAGGAGGGACGGAGGGAGGAGAGAGAGAGAGAGAGAGAGGAAGAATTTAACGACGCTATGTGAAAGAGGGATTGGAGGGGGGATGGGATGGGATGGGATGGAAAGGGGGAGGTGCTGGAGGTTAGCGGCACTGGGATGGATGGATGGATGGATGGATGGATGGATGGATGGATGGATGGATGGATGGATGAATGGGATTAGATGAGATAGGATGTGGTTGACATGTATAAAGCCATTCAGAGCCAGAATCAGAGCCAGAATCAGAATCAGAATCAGAATTGCAATCTTGCATAAGGCGGAAGGAGGGGGGGGGGGGCAGGATATAAATCCAACTACCAAAGCGAGAGAGAGAGAGAGAGAGCAATCGAAACAAAACATGGTGTTTTTGTATTAAATCCTCTCTTCCCCTTCCCCGTCTCTCGACATGAATGTTCTTGATGCTCTCGCGTGCTTTAAGCCTCAGCGATTAAGTACCTAGGTACCTACCTACCTAGCATTTGGGTGTTGCCTATCTATCGATAATATGAGTGAGTATCCCTCCCTCTTGTGCCCCCCCCCCTCCCTTATAAACTTTCTTCTTCGCTTGCGAGGGGCTTCTATTTTCTATCTAGGATCATAATCATAGGATATGAATCATATATGGGTGGGTGGGTGTGTGTGTGTGTGTGCGTGTGTGGGTGTGCTATTTTACCGCATGCAAAATACGAGAAGCGAGCCCTCAGCCTTCTCCTTTTCCTCGATGGAGATGGGATGAAAAGTAATAGGGATGGATGAGTATATATGTATAGTGTAGACAAATAGCACTGCACGCCAGACGGCTAGGAATTCGCGGATTCCTTCCTCCGTTGCAGAGAGAAGTCCATCTTAGGACCCGACCCGGGAGATGGGCTTGGATGATACCGGATCTCTCACCTTGGGAGGAGCGTGATGGAAAGATGCAGCCATGACCGTGAAGAAGTAGAAATGGTATCATTGAACCCGCGAACTAAGTACCACAAGAGCTTTGTAAACGACTGGGTATCCTGCCAAGACTGCGAAATGAAAATGCAGCCGCTTCCATCGTGTCCATCCTGTCGTTAATTACCTGGTCGTTCTGATCCTCCACCCTCGCCTCCCAGAAATTTCCGCATCGCCGATCATTAATCCCATAACTTCCCTATGAGCAGGCAGGATATCATAAAATACAAATTGCTGTGTGGCGTGCAGTTTTCTTGATCCGGCGACTCATGCCATGGTGAAAAGTAAGTCGCAGAGGGTAGAGTCACCTAACGTGTAGACCAGGCTACATGCGGCACACCGATATCAGCACGGTCTCTGCTTAGATGTTCTCGACCACATGTGCATTTATCGCACGTTGGAAGCCGGGATCCATACCCCCAAAGTCATTATTGCCACTGTCATATTTCTGCGAAGAAGACGCGCCATGCTGTTCGGGACCTTCTCCGTACGCATTCGCCATTGCCATCGAACTGCCGACGTTGGAAGCACCGGGCAAGAAGATGACCTTGGAGTTGGCGGACTTGGCCATGGCTTGCATAGCCTCGAGGTATCTGATTTGCATGGCTGGGGCGCTCGACAAGATGTCGGCGGCTTGTCTCATGAGCTTTGCGGACTCAACTTCAGCTCTTGCGGCGATGACCTTTGACTCTCCAATACGCTTGGATTGCGCAGCCATTGAGAGTGAGTCCTGCAGCTCATTGCTGAAGATGATATCCTTGATCAGCATTGACTCGACCTGAACTCCCCATCCTGATGCGACATCCTCGATGATTTCCCCAATTGACTGGGCCACTTCCTCACGGCGCTCGATAACATCCTGGAGGACACGGGCACCGACTACGTGACGGAGGGTGGTCTGCGTACGCTCCACCAGAGCCTGCCGTACGTTCGAGATACCGAAAGCAGCCTTGTGTGGGGATGTGATGTGGTAGTAGATAACGGAAGTCAAGTGGAGAGTGACGTTGTCCTTGGTCATGCAGACTTGCTGTGGGACCTCTGTATATGCGGTCAGATACTGTTTACTTGACTACTGTCGGCGTAAATACATACCAACAATCTGGATCTTGACATCGACCTGGATGAGCCGCTCGGACAGAGGGTTGATCTTGACAAGACCTGGATCGACAGCTCTGTAGAATCGACCGAACTTGGTGACCAGACCGACATTACCCTGTGAGACCGGCTTGTATGGGTTGGGGCAGAAGACACAGCAAGGAATGGCACCCATGGTTCCAATGCACGTTCCGAGGGCATTGATCATGCTATCCCAAGGATTAGTTTGCGCTGAGCTTGTAAATTGAAGCTTGGAGCTTGAAGCTTGGAGCTTGGACCGATGCTTACCTTCCATACCAGCCATGGTTGCCCTGGTCACTCTCTCCGGCCAGAGTCTGCGCATAGGACGGCTGCAAATCCTCTCTCCTGGGCGGCTCGACACTGATCAATGGGTTGTCGCTGCGACCTGGGGTATGCGAAGGCCGGAATCCTGCGCTGGCGCCATTGGATCCAGAATTGCCAGGATCCTTGCGGATGGTGTCGTCCTTCGCGACGCTGCTGTTGTCCATGCTGGAAGACATGATGATATTATGAATAGAGATTATTGTGAAGCGTGCAGGTTGTCGAGTACGTCGTGCTGGGTTGGGTTGATATGGGTGAAGGAGAAGGTGAAGAGATTTGGCACAATTAAAAGTTGTTGGTAGGAACCAACTTGTTGTTGAAGTAGGAGAGGGTAGATGTAAGAGGGTAGAAGTAAGAAGTAAGAAGTAAGAAGTGAAGGCAAGATCAGATGACTAGTGATGGCCAGTAGACTTAGTGGGCTGATGGCTAGCGTGGGGCTATGCGTGCGATATGGGGAAGATGCTGGGGAAGCGAGCAACCTCGACCTTGGCGAGATGATTGTTGACAAAGTATGGAATAGTAGTGACAAGCACCGAATATCTCGAATCTCGACGCGCTTTTATTTATGTTTCTCTTATTTTTGGAATGATATAAGCGGAGATTTTTGTGCTCTTGCAGATGCTGCATCACAATTCTGCATTTCGAGGATTTTTGACACTGGCACTTTTGTATTGCTCATATCCTTTCTTCCAGACCAGATTGGACGCCGTCTACAAGGTCTCAAAGCTGCTATCTAGTAGTCTGTAGCGCTGGTGCAACGGAAGAAAGGAAGAATAGAATCTATCCATTCCATCATATATCATTCATTCATCCATCATTATCATTATTGTCCATCATTATTATCATCATCGTTATCATCGTTATCATTGTTATCATCATTATCAACATTATCATGATTATCAGCATTATCAGCATTATCAACATGGGCCCAGAAGACCCCCAAGCACGGACGGTATGTATCCACAAAAGCTTAGCATGCCACTAGAGAATCCCTTGCAGGCGGCCCGATGTCAGAATCCCATCTTGACGTTGTTGATGACGAATACAATGCCAATGTTTCAAACTCTTATCTCCAACAACAAAAACTTCAACCCGGAGAGCGGAAGGCAATATTGGAAATTATCATTCCATCGAGGCTTCAACCTGATCAATAATCCCCCACTCCAAGAGAGCGTGAGATCTGACACGCATATTACAATGTCCGTACACCTACCAAAGAAAAAACCCTTGTGCTTGCTCGTGGGCTGTGGAGGCGCAGTCTCCTCCTCTGTTACATGGGCTTTCATGATATCTCGTTCGCGCTATTTGTGTTTACCTTCCAGATCAGGCAGACGGGCTTGAATGCCGAGCAGTGCATACTCGGTGTTGTGGTTGATCGCTAGTATACGGAGTATTGTGCCGTCGACGGCCGATAAGGGCGGATACGCAGCTATATTGTGCGTGTCTTTTCATATGGAGAGGCTGAGGCTCCTCAGGTAAATGACAAGAGAGAAGGCTAAAAGCCAATTGTATTAGGGATTCTCTCAGTCGCTTTCTGCATCGTCGCTGGTTTTGGTCTATTTATTTACTTATATTCATTGTGAAGCGAAATTCAATCTCCAGAAGACCTTAAACTAACACACACGTCGATCCCTTTCTGCGTGTCTCATTTTCGAATTCTGGAAATCAAATTTCGCATTAGACCTCGCACACCTGTTGAGATCACCCTCTATCTGGTTGGAGATACAACGGACTTCAAGTCACTACTTGGGATGATCCTGGTAGTGCAGGGGTTGAGGACATTTTAATTTTGAACCTAAAGTCTGGTCTTGTAAGTTTATAATTGACATCAATTGAACGTCAAGACTAGGCTAGGGATTATTTCCCGGAGGTGGTGGTCCGGTACAAGGTGGGCGAGAAAATGATACAAAGTTGTATCAACACTTCATGGTCGTCTTCGTCCAGGAGTGTGGTTGAAAGCATTAAAAGTATAGCTAGCCTCCTTCATCGCTAAAATTTTCGCTCAGTCTGTGTCTCTATTATCCAAATCAGAATCAACTACTGTCATCTCATCCTATATACCTTCGATACCTACGCGTGTGTAATTGACCATCGACAGTCCTTTCATTACGAACTTCACAGAATATCCAGCGTCTGGCTCCTGAATCCAGGCCAGCGCCTCACAGTTCAGAGATAAAGACCGGACTTCAACCATGCAGTTTCAAGTTATATACCAAAGTCCCTTAATAAGATCTAAATATTCTCTAACATCTCGCGTTCTTACATCTCAAACACCTTATTGACGTCAAATCTCCGTATCTCATCTGCCAACCTCCCCCTCTGATTAGAAATAACATGTACCTCATCCTGATAAAACGTGTTCGAGTAATGCGTGTGTCCATACGCCCACACATCCCCCTCTCCCAAGCCCTCCACGCCCTCCCCACCCAGGATATCCGACTGCCACTTACTCCAGCGATCCCCCGCCGCATCGAGGTCCGGCCGATTGCTATACCTGACCGTAGGCGCATAATGCGTCAAGACCAGGATCCGTCTCTGGGGATCCTCCCTCCGGATGCGCGCCACCTCGTCTCGGATCCACTGCAGGCTCTCCTCGAACCGCTCATTCTGCCGCGCCTGCGTGAACCCGACCAGGCCGGGCCGCCCGGCCTCCCCGGCGCTGGGCTGGTCGCGCCGGAGCCGGCTCCACAGCACGCACCCCAGCACGCTGATGTTGACGTCGGCGTCCAGGAGCGCGTGCTCGTTCTGCAAGACGACCAGCCTCCCCCGCATCCGCCCCTGCGTCGCAAATCTCCGCATCTGCGCGGTTCCTTCCGCGACCGGATCCGCCACCCGGGCGCTGTTCCAGAACTCGTGATTGCCGCCGACGTAGAAGACCCTTTTGAATTTTCCGCACTGCATACGGTACCGCCGGGTCAGTAATGAATGGATGGATGGCCTTGCTGGCAAGAGATGTTTTGGGGGAACAGAGCAAGAGAGTATGAAATAAGGAGCGAGGAAGGGGGGGAGGAGAAGATGGGCGGGGCTCCCCAATCATCGTACCTGCACGGCAAGCCATGCTGCAAAAGGCTCCAGGTGGGACTTTCGGACGAGCGAGCCGATGTCACCGGCTAGGAACAGGTAGTCCGCGCGAGCGGGGACGACGAACGAGGAGTACGTGCTGATATCATCCTCGAGATGCAAGTCCGAGAGCAGCTGGAACCGGATCTTGCGATTGGGGTCTCTACGATCACTCCCACTGGCGCTCATAGTGACGTTCGAGACGATGCCATTCCAGGCTTCACCGAAGGTTGCCATTTATCCCCAGACTCTCCTGTTGCTGCTTGGTATTGAGGGCTTGCGATAATATATGCGTTGCTACGGGTGTTTTTTTTGGGGGGGGGGGGATTTTAGGGGCTAAGGAAGGCCTTTTTAGGTGGGGGGAGGTTGAGAGAGACAAAGACTGGTTTTTGCTGATGAGTTCTTTCGTCCAGCCCGACTTGGCTCGAAGCGTTTTCTTTACGCTTCAAAGAGAATAATCGGATGCGTTCAGTAATGGCAAAAGTAGGCTAGATGGCGGGATCGCATTCGGCTAGACTGCTGGGTAGTCCATTGTTGATCTTGTCCTCGCTTAGCAAAGCTCGAGGAAATGCAAGGAAAATTCCGTCGGGTAGAAAATTAATTGTACCGTTTCCGCTATGGTTGACCACATCCAAAGAAGATTTAAAAGGGGCGTTTACGTTCCTGAAAGTCCTGTCTCCGACTCGATCTCAAATATCTAATTATACCGTCTTCTGGTGCAGTGTCGGCTTCAACCACATCAGCCGCCATGGGAATGAGGAGCTAGGAGGAAGGGTTGGCATGGTTGGTGCTATCATCAGAGGCCTTATTGGGGCTTCGGATGCTGTAGAGCAGGAGGGGATAGAAGATTGCTAGCTGGAGCTGATCAAAAATGGTTTGTATCACAATTTCCAGAAATTTATATCATGAAATACTACGATGTTTTCGCGAGCTAGTCGCGGCATTCTTTGACGGAACGACCCTTTTCATTTCCATTTTCTTTCCCCCGTAGAACATCCAATCTCATTACGTATGCGATAAATCAAGAATCTTCTTCTCCAAGATAGTTATCTTTCAGTCCCTCCAGGGGTCACGAATTGATCTAGAATATCTAAATATTCAACCGAGGGGCGATAAACCTTGATAACGCATCCACGATCCTAAGTAAGACCGACATTCCCCCGCAAAGGATTTCTTATCTTACTCCTTCCTCATTTGCAAAAATCAAGTTTCAGGGAACAAAAGTTGATCGCAATCACCGTCCTTTATTAATCCCACGTTTGCGTCTCCAAGAGAATGCCGTGGCGACGGGCAGCGAGCAGCACCCAGAGTAAGTGAAGGTATTCGCGTCAGATAGCGAGAAAGCAGGTGCGTCCCATTCATTGGCTGCTACATGTTCTTTAGTTGTTCTTCGTCAATTTGTGTGACTAATTAACCTGCAGATACCGGTACCTCTGATGCGCTAGCTCTCTGATTCAATCGAATCAATTCCAAACTCAACCTTATATCAATTCCAAACTCAACCTTATCTTAAGGTGAGCTGCCCTTGAGGGGTTTCATTTCAGTTATCCCGCTTCCTGAAAGGCTCAAGCGCAAGCGACAGCTTCTCATGATGTTTTCCAGGTTCCATCCAAACAGAGTGATGTACTCCAAGGCCAAGCAGAACAGGCTGCGCGGGAGCGACAAAGTGCTCACCCCAATCCGGAAAAACTTCCTCAAGGCCGCCTATATCAACTTCGCCCTTCTCCAGCTGCTGTTCCTCGGCCTCTTCGTTTACATTTTCGGGTCATTGTATCAGCAGACAAGTCGCATCCACGCCTTGAAAGTCCTGTACGTTGATTTTGATGGAGGAAGTATCGGACAGGCGGTGAGGGGGGCGTACGCAAGCTTGAAAGGAGATGGGTTCCCGACCTTGAAAGAACGTCAAGCCAGTGGCTTCGAGATTGATTCCCTGAGAGGAGAAGTATGCCAGAGGCACTACTGGGCCGTGATCTACACGTCTCCTGGTGCTTCTGACCGACTCGAGGCCGCGCTGGCAGGGAGAGGCACCTCTACGTATGACCCATCGGATGTGTTGACGTATATCTGGAACCAGGCGCTATATCCAGCTGTCGTCGACTCGGCCATCTCATCGAATATCCAGAGCTTGTCGAGCGCGGCTCGAGTTCTTTATTCCACGAATGGGACATTTGCGTCGGTAGACGTATCAGATCAGGCTGCTATCGCTGTCTTCTCCAATCCCTGGACGCTGGAGAGCATCAACATCCAACCGACAAGTCAAGGATCCCGTCTTATCTACAATTCGCTTGTCATCATCCTCATCTTAATCCAAGAGTTCTTCTACCTGGGTACCATCAATGGACTGTACGCGCATTTCAAGATCTACACGAAGGTCTACCCTCACCGCATTATCGCATACCGGAATGCGATCTCTCTGTCATACACTCTTATCGGCTCACTGTGCGTCACCGGATCGATCTGGGCATTTAAAGCAGGCTGGGAAGTTGATGGGAAGCAATTCGCCCTGTCGTGGGCCATCCTATGGCTCTTCGCCCACCTCAACTTCCTGGCGTTGGATCTGTTCACTGTCTGGCTGGACCCACCCTACATCCCTATGGCGTTGATTACCTGGGTTATTTTCAACGTCGCGTCGATCCTGCTTCCATTTGAGCTCTCGAATGGCTTCTATCGTTGGGGATTTGCCATGCCAGCACACGAAGTATATCAAGTGTTAATCGATATCTGGTCCCGAGGCTGTAACCCACGGCTTCATTACGCATTACCGATACTCTTTGTTTGGGAAATCATCGGCCTCTGTGGCAGCGCTTTAGGAGTGTACCGACGTTGTCACTACGCCGTCATCGCGGAAGAAGCTGCCGAGAAGGCGTTCAGAGATAGGGTCGACGCGGCGACCGCCTTCGAGAAGAAGCACGATCAAGAGAGAGACGAAGCTATGGAGATTCGACGCGATATGGGCATCCTCAAAGAAGAGTCTGGTGAGCAGAGTAGAGATGCAGAGATTGTTGGCGAAGAAGAGGCGGAGAGGGAGGCGATAGAGGAAAATATTCGCAACGAGGATAATATTTTGAGGAGGGCGCAAACCTCGGCGAGCCGGACGTATAATTTTGGTCCGTCGTTTGGCTTCACTTCGTATGGGCCTGAGGATCGAGATGATAAGGATAATGGAAGGAGGCGAGGGAGCGGTTTGACTCTGTGAAGGTGTCTGAGAATGAAATGACACGGGCGTGTACTGCTGGAATTCAGCGCCCTGCGCCAACAGTTTAGTGTACTGGGCGCTATGATTATAGGCCTCCAATCACTAAATCCTCAGCTGGTAATCCCCTCCCGCTTTACTCAGAGAACACGAAGAACTTCGGTGCGTGATACCAATCCGGAAGGATTTCTGCAGCAGAGATATGAATATTAAAGTAAATGCCGCTCAAAATTATCCGTCTTACCATGACTTCCACTCCGCTATCCGATTTATCCGATTGACGGGACCTTCATCATGTGACTGTCGCGCTTTCAGCGTAACCACAAATGATGCAAAAGATAGACGAAATAAGGTAATTAATGATGTGCTGCCTATGGTCGTATCAATTCATCTTCTTCGCTCTGATATTTTCGCTTGTTACACACCCGTCTCCTTTGTCAGTTGAAATCAACGAAATGACACCCAGAGGCTAGGCGGCCCATTTCTCTTCCCCTATTAAAATGCTGGCAAAATAGTCACTTTGCTGCAAGTGAAAAGGAACAGCAAAAGTTTGGCTATAGAGAGGTCGCTATAGGAATCGAACCAATATCCCCAGAATTTCTAACGCGGCGAAGCGATCAGAATCTGATGTGCTAACCATTACACCAAGCAACCTGTTATTTTTTGCTTGCGTTCAGCTGAATTAAGCTTTGTATACAAAGAAAATTCCTGCGTTTCAAGAAGCGAGCTCCCGAGAATTACCCTTCCGAAGATGACGCGAGGTGGCAGCGACAACGAAACTCACAAAGAAAAAAAAAAATCGACCATCGTAACTAAAACGCGAAAAACTCGGCAGGGACCCTGCTGCGGTTCAAGAGGGCTGCGTAGAATGCCCCACTGATTTGAGGGAAGGAGGGGTTTTTTTTTCAAACCGCATCCGTCTTTCTAAGGACGGGATTAAACTGCACGAGTCGCTGCGTGCGAGAATAGTCATCCCGCTCAATCATTCATGACATAGCATCAAAGCTGGCCCGGCTGATAGATGGGACAGAATGTTCAAAATCTAGACCAAGCTACCTCTTCGACCTGGTCGTGAGCTCACTCTTGTTTTGATAGAAGAAAGGGGCCTCGGGTCTAATGCGTGTGTGTCTGTTTCTGCCTTATGGCCTCATGACGGTTTAATCGATCCTACCGGTATAACAACCACGCCACCTTCCAACCAACGGCTTTTGTAGTCCACCTCGACAACCCATTTTCTCGTGTTGCTTTGCAGCCCAGCGACCCCTTTCGAGCGCACTCATATGCGTCCTCTCCTCCCCATTCTCGCCCGCACGCCGCCAACTCGACGAATCCGCCCTCGGGCTTTCAGCATGTCGTCAACCTTCTACTCGACCTCGGCGCCAGCCGAAGAGCCACCTGCCTCCGTCAAGCCCCCCGGAACCCTGGCCCTGCCAGACGTGTCGCACACGCACTCTACACAGCTGGACATGAGCCACGGCGACACATCCGTGAAGCTGGACCAGCTAGGGCCGATGGTGGTCAACGCCGACGGGACCCTGAGTCGGATCTCGAATTGGGAGAAGATGGCAGATGTTGAGAAGGAGGCGACTGTCAGGATTATTGCGAAGAGAAATCAGGCTAGGCTGAAGGCCCTGAGAGAGAACGGGAAGGAAGGGCTGAAGGAGGATGGGAAGTGAGCTCTGGAATCGGCAATGGACTATTGGTTGATGAAGGTCTGGCGAGAGAGGTCTACCCCTACATGGTGCAGCAGAGTCACGCCATGCCACATGGGTTCACGGATGAGGACCAGAATAGAGAAGAGTGGACGCCAGCATATACGGGCTGCTCGCAAAGCACTATGAGATAGAAAGTATCTATCGGATCCCAGGCAGCCGAGAAGAGACACCGAATGATTGGATTAGCTTATCTGCTCTACAAATCCTCCTAATACGCACACGAGTGATCTCTCAGGTCTATATATACCCCTTCTTTCTAGTTAACTCCAACGTCAATCGAAATACTGTCTCATCTATCATTCGGTATAACTTAAACGAATCTCATATTTACGCTGCTACAACTCATTATCATCAAAAGAAGTAGCCACGGTCTTTAAGGTCCACCAATACCATCATCTACCTTTTACGGCGTCCTTCCCATGGCTTGAAACGAGAGAATCTGTGCTAAAATCAGATCCTGACTTAGTCTTCACTCGTCGGTTTTATTCTTTATAGAAAGATGCATCGTATTAATTCAGCTACCAACCAATTAACCAAATCTTAAATACAAGTTGTTATTCCTCGATTATGCCGAGTTAAAGTAGTAAAAATGGTACTTCTGGTGTACTTTTACTTGTACTTTTCGACCTTACTAGTCCGTGCATCACAGGGCGTATATATTAGAATTGCCGTGTAAAAACTAGAATAAGCGAGGAACAGGAAAATCGGACTTTTAATAAAAACCTGTTAAAGGAATACGTGCGTCACTGCTACCTTCTATTTCATCAGTAATACCCCTAGTAGTGTAATAGATTAGATTATTTACTTTCGATCCGCAAGACGTTTCTTTTTTTATTAAGGCTGTGGTTGTTAAGATATTCGAAGCGAACAAGTAAAATTAAATTATTTGGGACAGTCCTTAGGTATGTATTCACTACATTTTAGTATATTAGGTCACCACAAATGAATGCATCTTTAAATTGTTCGTACACATTCGTAAAGTAGAGTTTTCTGAGCGTATATAAATTTTTTTTTTTTAATTACTAGTTGTTGTTTAATAGGTGGCGTACCGTTACTGTCCCGCCGATGTGGTGCCGACTTGCTACAGCAAGTCGGTCAATTCTTTCGAATTAAATATCAGGTAACCGCAGGACTGCCCCTGAATTTTTACTTCCGAGTATTTCAAACCCTTGACAGATTCGGAAGAGCGCCTCTTGATAGCCAGGAATGTCTAATGTACGTACGCATCTAATTGTAATAGGATGGGCGACTCAGAAGATCCACGGAAAACGAAGGGCAGAGAGCTCTCGCGTGACAGGAGTAACTATACGCGTTCAAAGAGGGATTCGACACGATGGCTTGTGCCGCTGCTGGCAAGTTGAAGAAATTTGTATCCGCATGCCGATTACTGCCATGGATTTTTGTACGAGACCATTGTACACTATCGCCAAGGAATTCGATTGTGGCCTGCGTATCGCTACATCTGGTCGGAAGACTACAAAGGGAAAGCTTGTATTCCGAGCATCAAGATCCAATTGAATTCAAGAAACGAGTCCAAGGCCCTGATGTCGGTCTGTCATCGTGAACACTTCGCTCTATCTTTGTAACACATAGGAGCTTCTGCGCCACAAACTCGTTGGCCTTGGTGCCAGACTAGGTAAAAGTCAGTTCCAGGTAGCTAGGTTCAAACAGTAAAGAGCTATGCTTACCGGCATCTGGTAGCTCATGGGCACGGTTTCTTCTAGAGAGATGTAGCTCGCAAAGTTACGCAGCCGCGCAGTACATGCCGACTGTCCGGTAGATTGAGATGTGAGGTTGTTTATCATGCCGTCAATTGTTTCTTGCTCGCTTTGGTCTGCGTACAACTTCTCAGCAGAGACATCACTGGCTAGCTCTTCATCGTACGATCTGCGATCGATCAGCATAGTACGATAGGTATTGGAGATAAGGCTCCCTGAAAAAAACTTACAAATCCATGCCTGACATCCATACCCCCAATTCTATACGCGATGAGCTTTTGCTTGTGAGGTGGAGACCATAATGGGACAGAAGTTTTTGGTCAGTTGCGATGCAATTTGACTTACTAGGATGGCGAGTCTCAAATTCTTTCTTGTTCTGTAGACGCAGCGTCCATAGTATGTATATCCACACAGTCCAGTATGAATGATCCCAGTCCTCTACTAACACTGCCCAGTCCAGAGGCAAAGGCTCGTCCTGGTCCTCGGAGATAATCTTGAAAGCTTGAGCTGCAAGGTCCGGGTAATTAAGCTGCAACCAAGCGAATGCACACTCTAAAGACAGGAGCTCAACATGACTATGCATCAGCGTTGAGGTTACAGGTTCAGCGTGGTAGGTAAGGTGCTCTGAAAGTTGGCACAGTGAGCTGAAAGACGAGGCAGACTGCAGCAAAGCTGAGATTGGGGTAACTGCCATTTGAAGGACATGCATTTGCCTATTACGATAGTCTAAAGCGATTCGTTGATTCGGATTCCGGGGCTCGCTTTGAGGGTACAAATCTGTCAATTGGCTGCAGGGGCAAATTTTTAGAAAATTTAAAACTCACCTGAGACCTCCGCCGAATGTTTGAATCCTTGATAATTCGTACTGGAGCTTATCCCGTAGAATCCGAAGGACGAGAACTATATTTCTGGACAATGGGCCGCTGAAAGATTTTTTTTCCAAGGAGCACTGGAGATTCGCTTGCAAAAACCTTCGCTCTCTCTTGTTTGCCACCATGCAAGACATCGTGTCGATGAGGCCCGAGGAGAAGACCTGCAGCTGCAAGAGTTGGTCAAGAGGCACAGTCTTGGCAGGCAGTTTTACATGGAACATGAATTCTTGCTCCGGTTGATTGATATTGATGATATGAGAAGTCTGAGAGCGTCGAAGCCGAATAGATTCGGCTCCTGGAGTCAATTTGAGATTCACAGTATCTTTTTCGCGGTTTGGCAGCGTGAAGCCATATCCGACGAGCAATTCGCTATTGGACTTGTCGCCGTAAAAGTTGTATATTTGAGAATTCCGAGTCAGAACAATTCGACTTTTGAGACTGAATTGATCAGCTCCTTTGGACCAGTCAACCTGGTTGACGCCATTGTGGTTACCGATGTCCATAACAGGAAGCAGGACTGAGAAGCGATCCTTCTGGATATGTTCCAGATTCAGAGCGTAATGTTCCGGTAACATCTTGGTAGACTGAATAATCTCTTCGGGTATCGTCAGAGATGCCCGGAAGCTTCTACTGCCAAAAATGCTTGCCGCCCACTAATTTCCCGTGTCAGGTATGGGCTAGAGACCGGAGATTCATCCAGACATTCGATTCTTCCAAAAATCTTGGATAGTCCGCCACAAACGAGGACAGTCAAAACTCAACATACCTGGTACAATTCAAACGAATAATCTTCGTAGCCCTCCCAGCTGCCTTCTCTCAACAGCTCCATCCCCATCTTCCACTCTTCCTCCCACAGGTTCCTTCTCTTTTGAAGCGGTGGCTCCGCATTCGTTCCATCCAACCACCTCCTATCATCCTCAGACCACAAAACCGGAAGTCCAGATGCCTCTTTACTGTCCGGCTGAGGTAAAACCCTCACATATTCACGCCAAAATGAGTCTTTACCCAGCAAGTATTGCTGCACGAGGAAGAAATGGCCGACAACATTGGGATCCTCTCTTCTCAACCCATCTAGAAAGTTGGTGGGAAAAGGGGCAGAATGCCGTTGAAAGGGCGAGACTTCGGCTGCGTTCAGATACGAGAGTGTAGTTGTGTACGAGCAATTCACAAGGCTCGTTGAAGACGGTATATCGTCAGCAGCGCGAAATGAGAGTCCCGTGACATCGTCATTGTATATTTCGACGTTGGGTGATAATGAAGTTCCGTTGGCCTTGGCCCATTCCAGGAGACCTTCGGTATTTGCCACGGCCATGTTGCTTTGGCCCTGATTTTTTTTTTTGCTGGTGACGATTTAGTCGGAAGCGAGCCCTGGGGGTTGAGGTCAAGAGAAGAAGCTATCCGCAAATTTCACCAGTACCCACCCACACGTGATATTTTATGACTGGGCTGAAGATAGCATAGTTTTAGAGCGGTATTGTAAGCGATAAGCCAGCTCACCAATGCAGTCAAATCAGAGGGTTGTTTTTCTAGACCATGGTAGTTTTGCGAGTACCTAATTACTTCTAAGCAAACGCCTCAGGAAATTCTATCCCGCCAACCTAGCCCCAGCATCGATGATACGCAACCCGCAAAGTCATTGCGCTGAGAAACTTAGGGAAAAGAACGGCCATGGTCAAAAACGCTTCAACTCCTGAATCGGAGATATTATTTTCTATGCGACATGGCTTTCTACGGGAGTGATAAAGGACTCGCTGCTGACATCAACCGAAGCAGTTGGCATGATGAAAATATGTATACACTGGCTCCAAATTATGTGTACTCTACAACCCAACCCCGACGCGCCGATGACTCCCTAGAGAAAGCTCCATCCTCCTATCCATGCATCTCCAAGACCGGCCCTGGCTTTGTCAGTGCTTTCCTGTAGGTCCACTGAGCAAATCTAGTGCTAGGCTCGTCGATGATTTTGGTCGCAATCTCAGCTGCCCACAAGGTAAACGGCAGCAGAATCAAATGCGGCACCAGGAATGCCGGCTCCAGACCCAACGGTCCATTATGCGAAAGAGGGAAGCTGTTGACCCAGTTCGGGATGAACTCCTCATGCGCTTCCTTGTACCACCCGACAGCGCAGTAAAGGCGATCACCCAAAGTCCATAGGATTGGACCGTGGATCAGGTACAAGGAGAACGAGATGCGGCCGAGGTACTGGTTGAAAGTTGTCTCGAAAAAGGCCTTGAGCCACCAGATGCGAGGGATGGCAGAGACGAGGAAGACGGCGGCCCAGGAGAGGAAGAACCACTTTTGGTCCCAGGGCGCTTCCGGCTTCAGCTTTCCAAGCCAGTGCCATCCTGGAGCCTCGTCAAGGATGACATAGTCTGCTACGTGCGAGGGAACTCCACTGATGATCATAGATATGCAGAAGAAGGTGTAGTAAATGGGCATCTTCCAGGGTTCCAGACGCTTTATAAAATGCGGCAAGTTGTTGTCCCGAGCGAGCAGGTCCAGGTCGCAGATAAACATGCCCGCCATGAACATAGCTCCGAACCAACCATCAACGATATACATAAAGTAGTATATCAAGCCGACTTCAACCCAGAGTCTGGCATTCCTGGTGGCTCTGGCGCACGCCATAAGGGTGGTGTAGACGATGATAGATCCTCGGAACTCGATCGGAAGGGACCACGCAGGAAAGTTGTAGGTGAGCCAGGCTTCTCCACCGCCTCTGAAGACAAAGGAGTAGTTCTTGAACTCCAAGTACCACCTCCACAATTCTTTGGAGTAGGTTTCTTCGTGCTGCGGGGACAAAGTCCAAATTCCGAAAAGATGCCACGACGTCAGATAGGCGAGTGATACGGCAATGATAGGGAGATGAAGTCGTGTCCAACGCCGGAACAGAGCAGAGCCTATGTTATCCTGGAGCTTCATCAACTCTCCAGAATTGATCAAAGCCAGAGGCTTAGCTGCCAGAACGTAGCCCGAGATAACGAAGAAGACGGCTACGGCGAAATGTCCACCGGTAAAGAGGGTTCTGACGACAGGAAGGGTGGCAAAATAGTATTTGTTTTCGTAGCCCCATCCATTCTCCATAATTCGAGGGGCGGCTACTTCACGGAGAGGCCATAACTCGTGATGCTGCCAGTAGACTAGAAAGGCCGCGAATCCTCGAAGACCATCCAGATATGCGGTACGCTGCTGTGGCTTCTTCTTCAGAGGAGATCTCGTGGCGATAGCTGGCTTGACGAAATCGAAGCACCACTTTGCTGCGGATTGGACAGGTGACTCTGGTTTCTCCCAAGGGAAGCTGTCGAATTTGGAGGACATTTTATGAAATCTCGGAAACGTGACCTGGTGGTCGTACGGTGAAAGGCTTTGGCTTATAAGTTAGAGGCTGATATGAACTGGGCGAGAGATGGTAGCTGGGATTGTATCTCATAAACCATTCGATGCCAGCTATGTGATGATTCTAGAACTAATTGGAGTATAAAGGCAGGTTTATGAGGAGCGAGGTAGAGAATGCTGAATGGTTCCATGGGAGGATAAGACGAAAAGAAAGGCACTGCCAAAACGCTAATCGGTGAAGCTATAGCACGAGCTCTATCCGTGCTACGAGTATGAAACCCGTTTCCAAGCCAGGAGCGAATCCGAGGTCGTGGTATCCCCATGCGAGGAACCGTGTTTGGAAACATTCTATGTCTCCGAGATACTTCAAGACCGAGATTTGTTCCTGTCCACGCTTGGTTGGTTGGACTCTTTTTTCGCCTCGGACTAACGTGGTTTCAGCTATTGGTACCGTTTGGACCACAGACTACTCCGTCGAGTAGTTGAGATGGCCCTTGCATTCCTCGGACGGCGTCAGATCTGGCCTCTCCAAAAGCTATTCTTGTTTATTTGAACGACTGGAGGCGAATGGACTCCGAACTCGATGATGGGAGAGATAGTAGATTCTGCAGAAACTCGAGCGAGCTTTTACTGGGACGGGGCAATACAGCGCAGTACTGGGGCAGCAAGTACCGTGTGAGCTTTGACGTGCAGCATTGACTCCTGTCTTTTGGAATCTTGTGAACGCTCTGACGATTGCACCGATCGTGTAAACAATTTGATGAAATTTCCATATTGTCTATTTCTGCGTCTTCTGAGTCGTCCACCGACATAACCTGCGGATCTCGCTAAAGCGCCACTTTGCATGCGCCCCCTTTTTGTTGTCGCTTCGCTTAGGACCAAGACCTCGACTAAATTCGCCAAAGGAAACTAACTGTTTGGCTGAGTACTCGCCAGGTACCTTGCCTCTCAAGATAAACTGTTAGATGATATCCGAAGATTTTTGAGCAAGAAACAAATACCTCCGTCTGTCTGTCTGTTGACTTGTCGCAAATGGAACCGCCACAGTTTCGAGCACGTGCAGATTTCCGTTTTTTGGAAGATCGGATACTTCGTACCATCAAACCAAACAATGCCATCCTTGCGGCTGAGGCAATCTTCAAGGTGTGTTTCCTGTCATCCTACAATGACGGATGTTGGGAAAGTTTCAAACAAGAATACGAGGCCGTGCTCTTCAAGTGGCTGAGTTGGGCCATCTGAATGCCAGTAGCTCGCATGGAGTTCCGACCACACGAGCATGCGAGGCCGTGCCCATCAAGTGGCCCAGTTGGGCCATCTGATGCCAGTAGCTCGCATGCAATTCCGATACAGCGGATTTCAGACTTGGGACTGCAACAGCGCAACCTGATACTGCCTCTAGGTAACAAGTAAATTAGCCCGAGGATTGTGCAAGATTTCCGGGCCGGGACGCCCTTTACTGACCTCAGATATCTTTCCGGGCTCCCTTTTCAATTTTCAAACAACATCTCTCTCAATACCTTTGAACATTTATGAGCGTTTTAACCTATTCTGGCCCCCCAAGACACAATCCCAACTCCCCCTCCAGTCGCGGAGAAACCCAATGATCAAATCAAGGATGCATATCAAGACCTCTTCGATATCTGGCGGACGATTCCGGAAGCAAACTCGCAGAGCTCTCCCACTCTATATTGCTTGTGGCCTTCTCCTCCTCATTTACACCCAGATCGACCACTTCGAGCGTTTCCAGCGCACACCGGGCGAAGTATTGAAACGCATTATGGCACATCAGCAACCTGTTCACCGCGAGAAGAATTCGAAATTTCCCAAGAAAATATGGCAGACCTGGAAGACGGATCCATTGGATTTCGAAGTCAGAGAATCTGACCGCGCTAGAACCTGGCCACAGCTGAATCCTGGTCACAGATACGAGGTCCTGACGGACAACAATGACCTGGCATATGTCGAGGAGCATTTTGGGCCAAATGGTGTAATCTATCGACCAGATATTGTGGAGACGTATCGAACACTCAATGCGACTATCATCAAAGCTGACCTCTTGCGCTATCTTATCATGTACGCGGAAGGGGGTGTATATGCCGACATCGATGTGGAAAACTTGCGGGGGATCGACACATGGATTCCAAAACATTTTGACGAAAGCGACGTGGATCTCGTCATTAGTGTCGAAATCGACGAGCCCGGTTTCGCTAATCACAAAATCCTGGGCCAGAAATCTCAGTCCTTTTGTCAATGGACCTTCATGGCTAAGCCTCAACACCCTGTCATGTTGAAGCTTGTGGATCACGTTCTTCACTGGCTCAATGAGGTAGCTCAGAAGCAAGCAGTCCCTATCTCTGGTATCAAACTCAACTTCGATGAAGTCATCACCGGCACAGGCCCATCGGCATTCACCAACGCAGTTTTGTCAGAAATGGTCACTCAAACCCATCGCCGCATATATTGGGATACCTTCCACGCCTTGACACAGCCAGTACTCGTAGGAAACATACTCGTCCTCACCGTTGACGCATTTGCTGCCGGCCAGGGCCATTCAAATTCCTTGAGCCACGACTCTCCAAACGCTCTCGTGAGGCACCACTACCATGCTTCTCTCTGGCCATCAAGACATCCGCGATTCAGCCACCCAGCGTATGGAATGGTGGAAGAATGTAACTGGGAGCCGACCTGTGTTGAGGACTGGACTAAAAACACAGCTGCATTCAACAGCCTCCCGTATGATGAAAGGGCCCGCCTGATCCAAGCGAAAGAAAAAGTAGACAAGGAAGCAGAAGAAGATGAGATAGCCGAACAAGAGATATGGGCCCAAGAAGAGCTCGACAGGCAAGCACTTGAGACGAAAATTCAATGCGAATTAGCGTCCTACGTCCACGTCGAAAATCTCAGAGCCCCTACTCCCACCCCGGACCCCGCGACTCTAAAATCACCGAAGGATCAAGCAGCCACTGCCCAAGAACTCGAGAAGATCACACAGCCTGGGACACAAATGCAGCGCGAGCTCCAACAGTAAGCTGAGGCTGCTCCCCTACACACCACAGAAGGAGCACAGCTTGAAATGCGTATATGGTCCCATCATTGCGCTTGGCGATCATTGTGGAGACTGCACCAATGTATTATATGAACGATGAATCACGTTTTCTCTGCACAACCGTACTCGATGGCGTGGATCGGCGAACTGGGACAATATCGTCTTGGTAGAGAAATTTGCAGACACGTATCAGCGGCGGCATCGATTGAGTCAGGTTCACCGTAGGGTTTTTCCGGAGGAGATTTTTGGTGAGGGCATCGAGCTGGTTCGTGACTGGATGATACCCTGTGTCTGTGTGATGATATAGAGAGTTTCAGCGGGCTGGAGGGGGTCGGAGGACATCAAGCGTGTTCTTTGCTGCTGCTACTGCTGCCGCTGTTGTTGTTACTTTTGTTGTTCTGTTGCTGTTGCAGTTGCTCTTGCTGATGGCTAATGGAAGGAGGTGGAAAGAAGAATTCGCTTGTTATAGAGCTAGATGGTGGATCCATGATTACCCCTGAGATAAACTTCTTTTGTCATTACTTGGTACGAAATTAATTTATTTTCAACATCGATATTGCGAACTTGTATATGATATCTTTCAAAAAATTCATGTGGACATTCATAAGCTAGTGATGCAATTCCGAGAGTAATTCGGTGGCCCGTCTGTGACGGGAAGGCGACGTGGCACATGATGTTTTGCCGTTGGCTCAACCAAGCGAGACCAAACGAGACATTCCATTACTTAAAGATTTTCAACCCCAGGTGGGATGACTGCGGATCTACTCCCCCGACTTTGGAGCAGATCGAGGCTGATCCTACTCACGCGAGGCTGAGGTTTCTGGAAAGTGGCGTGACATCTCGAGCTTCCCGTTTCGCCACCATTTTCCTCTCCATATTTGTGACCGTCGTCAACACCGAGAAGCGATTCACCAAACGAGGTAGGAACCGTGCCAAAAAGAAAATACGACGAACGCGGCCATTGCCTCACCACAGCCTCCTGTAACGAATCTTTAGTACAACACCAGCCACTACTCATCTTCGACTCCTCCTGCGCTGTCTCTGTCTTCAGAGTACTTGAACAAGATTCCGACGCGTTTGTACTTACAAGACACCGAAGTACATAGCACATACCTAGTACATCCTCAATCATACATCAGCGTCGAACATGGTCGACCTCAAACCCACACCACATGGTCACTCAGCGCTGAGTGCAATACCTCTCGATGCCTTGGAGGGAACCACCACGCCGCCATCTCGAGTTCCGACTCCTCTCAGATCAACCCCTAAGAGCCTTCGACCCTATGTCTACGCGTTGATGGCATTCAAGCATGGCGCCCACTTCCAGGCGAAGCCCTCCAAGCTTCGCGCTCACCGAGCAAGCCTTCTCGCGGAAAAGGAGGGCCCTTTTGCTCCAGCTCTTCTGGTGACAACTCACCCCTCACTTTTATGCATCTTTGGGCCGTCGCGCTGACTTCCTAGACTCTTTATGCAGGTATTGCAGTGGCTTTCGGCGCCGAAGGCTCTGCAGTCGTGGCTGTTGCAATTCACGATAATACCTACCTCATCGACTTCTCGGTCCAAACAATTCAGCTTGAGGACGCAACTGGCGAGGACCCAATCGCAGACTATGTCGTTGGTGAGTTGGAGAGATATGAGCATGTCAAGTAGGTAATGGGAGAGGCTTTTATTCCCATTTCTTACCCCACCTCCCACCCCCCCTCCCACCCCCTCTTTTTTTTTTCGAAGATACGGTTGCTGACGGCCACAGTATCGCCAAATTCGTTGGTGCCGGTCTCCCCACCGAGCTTCTCAAGAAAGCCCCCAAGCTCTGCTCGAGACTTTGGTTGGATCTCGACATCGTTCCAATCTCAATCGTCCCCGAACTCGAAGGCTACGAGATGAGTTCGAAAGAGAAGAGCTTTTGGAATTCCAAATGCGTGGATGAGCAGGCAGATTCCATGGCGAGAAAGTGCATCATGTGAGTTGCTTTCCCTGTTGTTTGTGCCACTCTCGGCTACTTTCGAGCCCTAACACAATACAGGCATTTCGGTCCAAGTCTCGCGCCTTTACTCCAAGTCGGATACAGAGGTATTGTCGAGATCGACTCTGGTGGACGGGCACACATTCTTAGCCTTGACGACTTCAAGAGATCGTGTGAAGCCCCCACGTGGGATGCGATGATGCACTTCGTTACATCCTTGAAGAAGGCCGGAACCAAGATTGCATTCTTCAGCAGCACACCACAAGGAGGTGGAGTCGCCTTAATGAGACATGCTCTCGTTCGATTGGCAGACCTCCTGGGAGTCGACCTGACATGGTACGTCCCGAAGCCGAAGCCAGGTGTGTTCCGAATCACCAAGACCATGCATAATATCCTTCAGGGTGTTGCCGAGCCGGGTGTCAGTATTAGCGCCCAGGAGAAGCAGGTACTAGAGGACTGGATTGATGATAATGCAAAGCGCTACTGGTTGTCGGCAGGTTAGTAAATGCCGCCTTTTGGTTTTTCCACCGTCTTGGGAAGCGAGCAGTGGACTTTTGAGTCCTCTGTGCTCTAGTCTTCTGGGAGATTCGGTATAACATCAAACTGATTCTCTGTTGAACAGGTGGTCCTCTCCGTCCGGTCGAGGAAGGCGGTGCAGATGTCATTATGATCGACGATCCCCAGATGCCCGGCCTCATCCCTCTTATCAAGAAGATCACTCCCCATCGCCCGGTCCTCTATCGCAGCCACATCCAGATCCGAGGCGACCTCGCTGTCATGGAAGGCACGCCGCAGGCCGACGTTTGGCAGTTCTTGTGGCAGAATATCAAGCAAGCGGATATGTTCATCAGCCACCCGATTCCCTCCTTCGTGCCTAGCAATGTCCCCAGCTCGACGGTGGCGTATCTGCCAGCAACCACCGACTGGCTTGACGGTCTGAACAAGCCCATGAACGAGTGGGACCAAGGATACTACGGCCACATCTACAACGAGCAGTGTCACGCCATCCGAATGTACGTCCATCCCCCTCCCTTCGTGGCGCACTCTCGATTGCAAGATTGCTAACAACAGATCCGCAGGACACAACTAAAGTGGCCCCTCAAGAAATACATCATCCAGGTCGCGCGATTCGATCCCGCCAAAGGCATCCCAGACGTCATCGCCTCCTACGCCGAATTCCGCCGCCTCCTCACCGCATCCAACCCCTCGCTCGCAGCCCCTCAGCTCGTCATCTGCGGCAACGGCTCCGTCGACGACCCAGACGGGACCCTCATCTTCGACCAGACGATGAGCAGCCTGGAGACGCACTTCCCCTCCCTCGTCGGCTCCATCTCCGTCATGCGGCTCGCGCCCAACGACCAGCTCCTCAACACGCTCCTCTCGGCCGCGCACACGGTGCTCCAGCTGTCGACGCGCGAGGGCTTCGAGGTCAAGGTCTCGGAGGCCCTCCACAAGGGCAAGCCCGTGATCGCCACCCGCTGCGGCGGCATCCCGCTGCAGCTCCAGCACGCCCGCAACGGCTTCCTCGTCGAGCCCGGGGACTGGCGCGCCGTGGCGGGGCACCTGCTCGAGCTGTGGACCGACGACGCGCGCTACGAGGCCATGAGCGCGTGTGCGCGCACTAGCGTGAGCGACGAGGTCGGCACCGTGGGTAACGCCCTGGCGTGGTTCTACCTGGCGGATCGCTGGGCTAATGGGACGGGTGTCGTGCCGCGGGAGCGGTGGGTCAATGATCTTGCGAGGGAGGAGGCGGGCGTCCCGTACCGAGAGGGCGAGAACAGACTGCCGCGAAACTTCGGACGTGCTTGATCTGTCGTTTCGAAATGGTTTCCCAAGCCTTTTTTTTTAAGAAAAAAATTTGGGCTGGTGGCCGGCTCGGGACGCGCGATTCAGTGGTTGAATAACTTGATCTTCGGCATGGGATTTCTCTGGGCTCCCGAGAGAGGATAGAAATTCAGATAAGATAGAGAGAGGGGGGGGAGAGAAGAGAGACAGCAGGAAAGTTTTTTTTAGAGGGGGGTGGACCTCAATCGATCACGATAAAAGGGCTACTTAGATAAATGACCATCACGAAGACAACGAAATTCTTTCCTTTTTTCTATCCAGAAAGCAGATTGAGAGCGTAACCTTGCATATAGGTACCGATCAGGGCTGATCATAATTATCATATAGTTTCTTCTATCCCATCACATCACATCATATCAGGGTCGACACCCATTCTAAGCCCGTCGTGAATTCCATCAATGCACCCACCCACCCATACCATGCGATCCCACGCTAAGTAAGCACGCGCAACCGTCCCTCTGATGACCACCAACCTCGAACGCTGCCTATACCAAAAGTGAACGCAAAAGCAACGCTGCCCCACCACACTTCTTTGAATCGACAGCAAATCTCTTCTTTCTTTCTCAATGTCCCCCAGGCGGAGGTCTCGGCCCAACAATCTGCCGTCGACCAGCCCCAATCCCCTGCGTCCCCCTATTCTGCCCATCACCACCTGTATACCCAGTCCACTGATTGACGTCCCACTTCCCTCCAATCCCACCGCCGATACCGTCAACACCATCTCCCTTCGGAACTTTGCTCTTCAGCTCCTTCTGAGACTCCTCCCACTCCCGCTGTCGCTGCCTCTCGTTCTCCATTTCTCGCTCAAGGAGAGACTTGGAGGCCCATCCGTTGGCTTTTGTCTTTTGCTGCGACTGGACGCGGCGGCGGTCTTCGGCGTCGCGCTCGGCAGAGCTATCGAAAGCGCCGATTTCATTGGAGTAGGTCGTGCTTGCTTGGACTGGCTTGGGTGCAGGGTTAGCGGAGAGGAAGCGGTCGGTACGGTTTTGGTTGGGCGAGAAGTTCTGCTCAGGGGATTTAGCGGAAGCGTATTTTGCTGGGTCTGGAAGTGGTCGCGAAGAGCCCGTAGCCTGCTTCGCTACTCGTGGCGGGAGCGAAGGCGTAGGGTCTGGGAGAGGACGGGGGGATTTCGAGGGTGGCTGTGGGGTGTGTGCTGGCTCGTCTGACTGTTGAGATGCCCATTGCTTTCGCAGGTAGTCTCTCTCGTCTTCGCGCCATACTTCATCCTGGTCCTTGTGTGACCGGGACGGAGCGCGTGATCGACTGCGTACTCGACTGCGTGATCTCGATCGTAATTTGGCATTCTCTTCCTTGACCCGAACAGCCAGATCATGATCTTCAACTGTAGGACGGTTCCGCTGTTTTGATTTTTCCTGTCTCTCCCTCTCATATTGGCGCTCTCGCTCCCTGGCCTGCTCGAGCTCGCGCTCCAATTCCTTGATGCGACTGTTCTCGGGGCTTTCTCCAGTGCTTGATCCTTTCGAAAGTCCAATTTCGGCTTGATATTGACTCAAAAACTGGCCCCTCAACCGAGCATCGCTGTTACCGCGTGCTCGCTTGCGCTCGTCTTGCAATCTCGCCTCAGCTTCGCGCTCCTCTCTCTGTCGCGCCTCCTCCTCTTGGCGCCATCTCTGCTCTTCTTCCTCCCATTTCCGCCTTTCCTCGTCAGCTTTTTGACGCTCTTTTTCTCTCATTTGTCTGGTCTCCTCGGCCCATCGTTCTTCCTCTTCTATTCGCAAGCGCTCTTCTTCGGCGTGTCGTTCTGCAATACGCTTTCTTTCATCCCCTTCTGCGTGTATTCTCTGACGCTCTGATTCGGCCTCTTGCTCTTTTCTCCTCTTCTCCTTTTCCGCCAGGCTGGGAACTTTCGGACCAGCACTTGTAATCTGGCGTCTACCACCAAATGAAACGCCCAGATTGCCCTGGCTTGCACCGCCCATATACCCGTACTGCGCAATATTCCAGGCGGGGGATGTGGCCCCCTCGTCTGACTTCTTGCTCCAACTACTTACCCCAGGGGACAATGGGGTAGCATTCTTCGAAGGACTCCACCTCCCACTATTCGAGCCCCCTGTCTCCGTAGGCGTTAACGAAGATAACGGTCTGGTATTGTATGCCGACGATGTATTACTGGCATTAGAAACACCGCGTCCTCTATTTCCGTAGCTACCTCCGCCCACGGCCCCAGAGCCCGTCCCTTGAGGGCTCATCAGCCCATTTCGCGACTTCCCGCCGATTGGGCTTGGGAACTTGGAGGGGTTGATGCGATTCGCTGCCCTGCTGAATGAGCCTAAACATTGGAGGACTTGCGCCGGGTCTTTAGACTCGAAGAGGTCAACCGTGAGGAACGTATCGTGGGATTGGAGATTGAATGGCGCGGATTTGCAAGCGCTTAAGAAGAGGGATATGTTTTCCATCTGAACGAAGGGCATTACTGCTCTCGCTTTGAATCGGAGGGTGTCTGGGGCCGCAAGGTTGACGAGTCTAAGCAGAGAGTTAGTTAGCTTGAAGGGCAAAGATACAAGTAAGATAGAAAATCTGACAAACATACTTGCAGAGAGCCACTCCGTCTTTCAGACTGTCCAGCAAATCACCAGGGGCAAGGCGCTCTCCCAGAGATTCCTCTATAAACGCCCGCACTTCATTGGCAGCTTGAGGCGTGTACCGGTCAAGCCGCAACTTGCGCATGTCTTTGTCGAGGGAGGTAACAGAGGCCATTTTGGCGGTTGAGGGGAGGTAGAAGTGGGTGGGGGGTGAGGAATGGGACGATGGTCGACAGAGTTGTCGCTGTTTTCAATGCGCTTTGGGTGGCGGGGGAGGGGGAGGGGTGGGAAGGCAGGTGGGCGTGCATGCCAAGTTGCTACGTAGTTGTACGGAGCAGAGAGTTCCTCGTTTCTGTTTCTTTCTCGTTTCCGTTTTCTCGTTTCCGTTTCCCAAACACGAGGCCAAGGGATGGTCACGTGAGAAGAGCCCTGACTCATCATCAGCATACCTTGGCAGATCCTTCCTTCCCCACAATTCCTGTAGCCTGAGATCTCAGGACAGGACAAGGCCGCATATATCGCCAGCCGCACGTGCCGTGCCCACCCCGCCTCAAGGTTCTCGCTGACTAACTAGCAACTACCGTGACTCGGCGATATATTTGACTTGTTGACAAATGATCTTTCGAGCTCACGCCAAGCTCCACTAGTCCCGCCGTGGCTCGACTCGTGAGCTTAAGCTTCTCCTGCCAATCAGCGATCCGCTATCGGCTCCACTCCTCTATACGGAGCGGACAACCTTTTTCGTTGCTATGCAGGCCTCCTCTTCCAGTGCTCTCTGCCTCAGCTTTGCTTGTGTCCCAGCCAGATGCCGGCTGTCCCAGTAACGTAACTTTCGCTTTTCCCTTCCTTTCTTGCGCTCTCATCCACGCGAACATAAGTTCCGGTCTCCCCACTTCTCTTCTCTCTCTCTCTCTCTCTCTTACCTTTACTACCTCTTACCATAGCTCCTTCCTTGCTTTCTTTCTTCCCATCCCATCTCCATCCCATCCCATCACATCCCATCACGTCCCATCACATCCCATCCCTCCTTCCTACATCTCTATCTACACGTACCCCCCACAAGACCCCCAATCATGAGATCCTTCGATAACTCCTTCTCGTCGGCTCCCGTTCTCACCTTCCACGCTCGCCATCCCCATCGAGTAAGTGCTGTCTCGAGCTCTCGAGCTCTTCCGCGCGTCGCAAGTCCCAAAACTTGCCGCCGGGCTTCCAAGTGTCAAGCCCGCGATGCGCGATGCGCCTCAATCCGTTGGTCCCTTCCATTACCGGAGCACCATAACCTGACAGTTCTCTTAGTCTCCCTTTAACAGCATGAGGCCGTTCTCTAACAGCGGCTTCTCGTCATCCGGAGCTCCATCCTGGCCGAATCTCGACTCTACACAACTTACGTCGCCGCCAGCTGCTGGTCGAAAGCGCTCTAGGGCTGAGGCTGCGCCCAACCTAGAGGGAGACAACGTCGCACCTCCACCTCCCGTCCTTGAGGCTGCACCGGAGAATGAAGAGGACTGGGAATATGGCGAGGGCATGACCATCATCAAGAAGGGAGGAAAGGAATATGTCGCCGACTCGACCAGTCAGACACAGGATTGGGCCGAAGAGAGAGCGGCAGAAGAGAAGGCAAAGGCTGCTGCTGCCATGGCCGCTGCAATTGCAAACAGACCGGCCATCAGAGCCACCAAGAGCATGAGACTGAACTCGAGCGCAACGCCAGCGATCCCCGAGGAGCCAACTTCTACCGACGGCGTCACCGTTGCGCCTGGATCGCCGGAACGTCACATTACTCCGGCTGTCGATGACTTCACCCGACACCTGGGCATCGGATGGTCCGCAGTCAACAACTCAAGTCCCGATGTCCAGGCGGCTGCGCGAGGATGGGCGAAGTTCATTGAGAACCACTTCCCGGTCACCAACGCCACGATTCGACTCACGAGTAAGGGATTGGCCAGCTATCTCGTCGAGGCAAACGAGGGCTATTTCTTATTCGCGGAAGATCTGAAGCAGGGCCGCCTGGTGAGCACAAGCTTGGACCAAACGTGGGTCAACCTCGGCAGTCCTGTCCCAAAATTTGACAGTGACTTGGTGATGGAGGCAGGGCACACCCCCAAGGAATCTTCGCAGCCGATGGTCGATGAGACTAGAATGACTGACGATAATAAAATGGTCGCTCAGACCACCCTTCCCCTGCCTGCCGTCGGTACCGCCAATGGCATCAACGCATCAATCGTGGATGGACACGTGATGCAAGAAGCATTAGTCAACGAGACGGCAACGACGGACGTGAAGGACGCGACTCGACTACCAGCTCAAAGTCTGGAGGTTGAGATGGATATGAGCTAAAAGTTGACCGGTTTATTTCGCGAGTTTCAGGGGCGTGGGTTTTCAAACGGCGTCTGAGATTGCTTATCCAAATGGGAGTTCTGCTTGGTGGGCTGGCTGGCTGGCTTTGCATACGTGGTCACCGCTGGGGCGGTCTCTGAGAAGGGCCAGCATTGTAACAATATATCACGGAATGAGGATGGGGACCTGGGGTCATGGGTGGTAGGTAGGTATTGCGTTAGGTAAGATCCCGCAAGCGCATTGCTCGGGATACATACGTAGGTAGAGGCAACTAAACCAATAAAACATCCTTTTTCTATCCCTCTAAATTTTTTCTTTCTCTCTCGTACGAAGAAGTCATCGTCGCTGAAGCAAGGGATGGATAGCCCAGAGCGAGCGAGAGGGTCATATGGGCTATATTGTAAGAAAAACAAGGATGCTGGCATCAAGTCATGTGAAGCAAGGCAAAGGCTTTTTTATTTCATGTCGATAAGGTAATTAGGGGTAAGCTCGAGTCCGAAAAAAATAAGGGGGCATCAAATGATTCTCAATTATCAGTTATTCCTACCTTGGTGGTTGAGAGAGCAGCTGAAGCCTGAAAGAAACGCATTCATTCGAGAGTCGGGAGTCTGTCGCGCCTTGCTTGCTCTGCCCTGGGCCTCTGTCCGTAAGATCTCATTCGTCGAGGGTGTTTTCCATGTGTCCTTACAGAGATGTCTGTGTACAGAGTATGCATGCTTGCATGCTTGCATGCATGCGTCGGGATACATGCATAACGATTGGGTCTTGAGGAGGAAGAAGAAAAGCAAGGGAAGTATCGAGCTTTGCTTTTCTTTCGATCCCGGGTTTTTGGTTCGTTCGTTCCCTTTCGCAAAGCTGCAGCCGCACGCAGGCGAGGGCCGGTTGCGGCTGCGATGCAGTCGAATTGGGGTCATAGTGTCGCATTCATCAATTCTCTTTGTTGTTGGTCGCCGGGCTTGAGTTCTATGTTTGAGCGGAACCATTCGACGCGTTTCGTAAGGAGAAGAAGAAATCATTCGTTTGTTTGTTTGTTGTTTTGAGCGACGTGCTCGGTCTTGCTTGCAATATTTTACCTTGGAAACTCCTCGAGGAGTCGGGTCGGGCTCTTTGCGATCGATACTACTGGAAGTGCAGTAAAGGCGCAGAACAACAATAACAGACGGAAAGAAAGAGACGACTCGTTCCTGTGTCAGACTTGGGAGAATCCAGCGACTCGAACTCGGGATAACTTCGAATCCGGTACTTGACTGCGCAAAGAGGACGATAGCAAAAATCAATGGTGATGGAACTTTGAGAGGAATTGAATTCTATTCTAACCTCGGCCCGCCCCAACTTTGTCAACAAACAGCCCACCCTGACCTGACCCGACCCGACCGGACACCTCGCCAGCAGCATCGCAAGGCTGTACACAACGATGGTGTCACAAGTCGAGCCCTCGCATTCCCTCGCCCGTCGCGGGCCCTCCTCCGTCGTCTCTCGATCCTCGAGGCATCGTCGTCACGGTCACGGACGGTCCCACGCCGGCGGGTCTTCGTTCGTCCCGCAGAACGAGTTCCCCATTTTCTCGCACACCGGCGACGTCGAGATCCTCGTCAAGGGCAACCGTTACCTCCTGCACCGCTTAATCCTCACGCAGTGCTCCGGCTTCTTTGAGGCGAGCACCAGCCAGGAATGGTCGAAAGCCAGCAGCACGGGCAACGAGGGCGGGGTCGAGCTGGCAAGAATAGGAGAGGACTTTTCGGGGAGCGAGGAGGCGAGGAACACGGAGGCGGGTGGGAGGAAGAGAAGGTGGTGCTATGAGCTCGATACGGGCACGAACGATGAGGATGTGTCGATGCTCGTGCAGAGAGAGAATACTACCCAGGCGTCGTCGATTTTTGGGTCGGCGCCGCCGCCTGTACGCAATAAACCGTCATCCTCGAATCCTTCGTTCTTCCGCTCCGTCGCCAACCTCTCTCTCACCTCTCCCCAAGCGCCGGCTGCCCCTCCGCCGAGCCAGCGAGACCAAGAACTACTCAACGATTACGACAACCTCTTTCGCATCTTCTACAACTATCCACCGGCTCTGGACCCGATCGATATAGCGAGCGCGTATCTCCAGTGCAAGTCGCTATTGACACTCGCGGATCTGTACGATGCGCTCGCAGTCGTAGGGCCGAGGATCGACCACCACCTCTTGCAGTTCCAATCCCGGCTCTGGAAACAGATTGCTAAATACCCATCCTCGTACCTCAAGCTCGGCTACCTCGCGCAGTCGAAGTCTATCTTCCAGGAAGCCCTCATCCATGTCGTCGGCGCCTGGCCCACGGGCGAGCGCCACATCCGACACCAGCTGCCGGACTCGGTACTCGATATCATCGAAGACAAAGTTGAGGAGCTTGACGACCTAGTGGGCAAGATTGAGGGAAGGCTTTACAGGTTGACGCTTACAACGTCGAGAGGGGAGAGGATCACTCCGCATAATGGGTATCTGGAATGGCTTGCGGTAAGTCTATTTAGACAATGGCTCGCTGAAAGCACGGCACCTCCTCCTCCTCCCCCTCCACGGCCTAGAACCTCGCAGTCGAGGAGTGGACACGGTCACGCGAGGAACAACAGTATAACCGCCACCGCAGCAGCAGCAACGCAACACGCCAACCACACGGTCCAGCAACTCTCTCCGCTCCCGGCCTCCTCTTCCCTCTCCTCTCCGTCAGCAGCACCCACAAACCCCAACCTCGGCCGCGTGTTCCGCACTTTGGGCACGAGCCCGGCGACGTACCTCGGCCACGACGAGTGCAAGCGGTTCTTGAAGCTGACGCCGGAGTACTACTCGCGGGAGAACGTGAAGCGCTTCGAGAAGAAGCTCGAGGAGTTGAAGGGCTTGGCGAGGGAGGTTTGCCGGCCGCTGATGCGGTGCTACCTGCTGGGCGATGGGGCGGGCGCGAATTACCTGACGTGTACCAAGGTTTCGGAGAGGGATTTTCCGTGGAATGAATGAGTAGGGAATGAGAGGGCGGGGGTAGAGATGGGATGAAATAAGAAGAGGGAAGAGAAGAGAAGAGAAGAGAAGAAGAGAAGCAACCGTGCTCTGAAAACAGGCAGAGCGAGAAAGCGGCTTTGCTGTACGGGGCGGTACGCGGTCGTACTGGATGAATGAACGGATTGATGGATGGATACCCCAGCTTTGGCGTTTTGGATTTGGGATTTGGGATTGGGATTTGGGACTGCTACTGGGTTCGGATATTGAGCTGGCTGATGATGTTAAGCTGGATATTGATGTTGATATTGATTTAGGCTTGAGTTTGGGCTGGCTTGCATTTCTGGACTGGTGGGACGTTCGACGGTGGATAGGGAAAGGAGATAGGATTGCATCGGATGTATGGAGAGATGAGAGATAGGAGTGAAAGAGGGGGAGGGAGGCGGCGGCGGGGTGAGGAAGGGAAAAAGGAATGTAGATGGATGGATGTATGTATGTATGTATGTATGTACATGTGTGTGTATTTACATAGGTACATGTATGTATGTACATATATGTGTGTGTAATCCATTACAATGAAATATAATGACGACATATATAAAAGTAAATGATAAGGAAGTTAGTCAAAATCAATTGATATTGGGGAAGGCGAGAATATAACGCGAGAAGGCGAGAATATAAGGAGAGGAGGAGAGGAGGAGAGGGCAGCAATAAGCGAGATATATTCTTTCTTCTTCTCTTCTTCTTCTCTCTCTCTCTCTCTCTCTCTCTTTCTCTCTCTCTCTTAATAAATAAGCGAAAGCGAAAGCGAAAGGGACTGACTAGAAAAAGAAAAAGAAAAATGTATAGATGAATAGAAGGAGTGGATGGATGTCGGGTATATATTTCTATATGGCTTGCTTGGATGAAGAAAGAAGAAATGGGTTTCGGGTTAATATAATTTTTTTTTTTTGAGGGGGGGAAGGGGGGAATTCAGCCAGTCCTACCTACATGTACGTACATGACAAACACGGACTGCTTCTCATACTTCCTTCCCATTTCCCTCCCCCCCCCCCTTCACCTCCCTTCCAAACACGAAAAAACCGAGCACACCAGCCAGGCATCAATCAATCCATCAATCCTCCGTCAAATCCAAAACCTCAACAGCACTCATCCTCAACACCCGCTCCCTCCGCTTCCGCCCACCCCTCCTCGCGAGATCAGCTTCCAATTCCCGCTCGTCGACAGCGTCCCAGGAGCCAGCGAGAGATTCGCGCAAGAGGATGAATTTCTTTTTCGGGTTCTTCCCGGTTTGCTGCTTCCCCTCGGCCGCTTTATTCCCCGTTTTCGATTTCGCTGTCGCATTTTCTTGCTTGTTCTTTTGCTCCTTGGGCGCGAGCTGGAGCTGCGTGGTGGTGGTGGAGGGGGATGAGCGGCGAGGTTGCGGAGGCGAAGAAGAAGAAGAAGACTCGAGGCTGATGATTGCTACGCTGGAGATTTGTGCTTGTGCTGTAGCCAGCGTGGCCGAGGACGTGGACGGCGAGGTTGGTGCTGAGGTTGAGGTTGAGGTGAAGGAAGAGTGGGTGTTTGCAATTACCCCAGTCGCTGAGGAGCTACTGGTATTGATTTGTGACGCTGAGTTGGTGAAGGAGGGAGATGTGTTGTTGAGGCGAGAAGAAGCAGGAGAGTAGTTGGATTTAGTATTTGGCGGTGACAAGAGGTCCTCGAGATCGGGAAACTCGTCGTTATCGTCATCGTCATCATAATCGTAATTAGTGTCAATAACTGCGCCTGCTTGACTTTCCAAGTCCAAGTTCACACCACCTTCCTCGCCTCCTTCACAGTGTCGCTCCTCCGGGGCGGAGAACGACAGCTTCCTCGCTACAAGCTCTGGACTTAGTGACTTTAGCTCGTCAAAGTTCGGCAGGAACGGCGGTGCTACTTTAGAACTTGGAGAGGTCTTCTTTCTTGGCGAGGGGCGCGAGAGTGATCTCATTCGCGTCTTGGACGGCGTCAAGATGTTGTCTGGGCGGTGGTGGTAGCGGTGGCGGGATTTGCTGCCGCGGGAGATGGTTACAGTACTTGGGAGGGGAGATTCGTAGTCAGAGTGAAGAGGAGGCGAGTTGGGGGGTGAAGGCGAGTGAACGTGTTTTCTTAAACTGGTTTGGGTGGGTGCTGGTAGTTTCGGGGGTGGTGGTGATGGTGATGGTGAGGCCAGGGGGCTGGAGTCGATGTTTATGGGGGTTTTGAAGGTTGCTTGAGGCTTTCTGTTTTTGTCTATTTGGCCTAGGGATTTGGTGATTTTTGGGTTAGTTTGGGAGGAAGTTGTGCATTTGGATGCTAGATACCAGGGGTTGGTGTTTGCTTTGGGCTTGTCAGGCTCCGGGGCTTTGGTTCTTGCCCGGGGTTTTGGGGGTGCTTTTCTAAGGATAGCGTCGGTGCTAGAATAAGCTGTGCGAGCGACCGGCCGGATCTTGGATGCTATCGCGGGAGGTGGTTGTGATGCCGATATTCGTTCAAGGGATGGTGCGAGATAAACTGGAGGGAGTACTGGTTGAGAGGCTATGACTGTCTTTCCCAATGGCTTCTGGATCATTGCATCCTCAAATTCGTCCCTCCCTTTCGAGACTCTCACATACTTTTCCAGAGCACCTCTCTGCATGCCACCACTGGTAGTGGCCGCTTTCTTGCCTGCAGGCTTCGCAGTTTTCTTGGCTTTAACCTTTGGCTCTTTGGGCATCCTCTTCGCCAACTCTGCAGCTTTGTAGTCTTCCACCTTTAGCGGTAAGCTGAGCTTCAGAAGCGTCTCAGGTATCCACGTTTTATCCGGTTTCTTAGGGTCGTACTGTGATGCTGCACGTTTACCTGTAGCCGCAGAAGCGTCCTCATCAGAGACGTATGCCTCAATTTGGTCTTCGTCGTTGACCGGAGCAAGACCATCTCGGCTATAATCTGCGGAATCATCGTACTCCTTGTCCAAGTCAAGCTTCACAATATCCATAGGATGGAAAACCACCTTCAGCTCTGGCATTCCACCCGCATCGAAATGTTCTCTCTGCCCACAGATTGACCTCACGTAATCCATCTCCTGTATTTGCGTCAGGATCAAATCTCCATATCCGGAATCTCTTCGATCTGCCCGTATGCGCAGTTGATGGACTAATAATGCCGGCGCTAGATTTCGAATAAACTTCCTTGCTCCCCCGATGTTGCTCCATGAAAATCCTTCTTTGACATATTCTCGTAAGCCGGGGACATCCACGACACCGTCCCATTGAATTTCTGACTTGAGTTTTTCAACCTTCTGAGCGGTTGAGACGACTGGATGAGTATAATACCCCAGAATCTCCTTGCTTGGAAACGTGTCTGGAATTGTCATAGACTTGTGTTTGCTCTTGAAGACTTTATTCTCATTCGTCTGAAGCTCACGAGTGAGCTTGCTCCTCCAAGTGGCCAGGCCATCCTCATCTGATCTCGACAGACCACATAGCTCCTTCCCAAATCCTGCTCTCGCAGCTTGACAAGCGACTTTGATACCAATTCCAGGGAGCCCATCGGTGTTATAATCGCCACCGCTAAGCAGAGCAACTAAGATCATGCCTTCGCGATCTAGCCCGGAACTGCCTTCCTTCGTCTTCTTTGCGTCAAATAGAGACACGTGAGTCGGTGCCTTGCTGCCTCTCGCGCCCTCGGAAGACCAGTCTCGTAGGGTAATCCCGGATCCAAACATAAGGGTATCGACATCCTCGCTCAATACTGCATCAACTATGCCCTTACGCTGTAGAAGAGCGCATTCTGCTTCGGCTTCTCCCGGGGCATTGTGGCAAGGAAATCCAAACAGCTTTAGCAGCTGCTTTGCCGCCATGTCTGAAGCCGAGGCACCGCCTCGACCAACTCTCTTGTTGCGTTTGAGCTGAGGTCTTTGAGGTCCATCAAAGACAAAAAGAGGTTGTATAGACAACGATAGCAAGCGGATCAAACGGTAATACAGAGTTCGTATTGCTGGATTCGACCCTCCTTGACCGGACTGGATCTGAAATTGCCATATCGAGATGTCGATGGCTAACCTGAGGGGGCGTCCAGTTTCCACGAGCTTTTCAATAGCGAGTTTGGATAAACAGACTCTTTCGCCTCTTCCAATCTCTTCATAGATACTTCATATGTTGTTAGCATAGGCACAGGGAAAGATGGCATGAGCTTACCCTGGAATACCCATTATGTTAGTAAACGCCGCCGCTCCACGATCAACGCGCTACAATTAAGTCGAATTATCCAAATCGGATTTTCTTTGTCAGAATATCCGACAAGGATCAAATTGTAGCAACACCCAAGAAAAGCAAAACTGATAAAGTGTGGTGAGGATACAAATAAAGGTGATTGTATTTAGCGTTTCAGAAGGGCGTCGGCCCGGAAACGGCTTCAACGCCGGCCGGCTCCAGATTCAAAACTCCATACAATTAGTCCGGCATTAGGTGTGAATCTATTTCAAGCTGCAAAGGATTCCTCCTGATCCATTTTCCACAACTAATGGAGCACAATGTCGAACCCAAGCGCTCCGTCCCATCGTAACGTCTCGAGCGTCCGCTCTCCATCAACCACGCAGCCAGGCCAGCCTATGAGCCCCCACACCCCTCATCGAACCATAACCACTACATTCGGATCGCCTTCTGCATTGCGCGCAGAAGAAGAGTGCGTTGTGATTGAGCTCGGCAGCCGGTATCTCAGAGTGGGGTTTGCGGGCGACGCGCTCCCGAAAGCTGTGATTGATTTTGGGCCGGAGGAACAGCGCAGGGCAGGGGATTACAGGAGATGGAGGGTCGATTATGAACCATCCGAAGAAAGCCATCTGCAGCTGAAGGGCTGGGGAGAGGCGTACGAGCTATGGAGGCAAGATCTGAGAGGCTTGGATATGGGGCTGGTGGGGGACAAGCTTGATAGAGCTGTTAGGGAGGCATTTGCAAAGTCAGTAGGTGGTTCAAGGTCCTGCAGGAGACGGTTCTAACAAGAATCGTAACAGGTACCTTTTGATTGACTCTCGGCCGAGACGAATGCTTGTGACTGTACCATCTGCGTTGCCGCTCCCTCTGCTATCTACGATACTTGATACTCTGTTCACGAACTTCCAACCACCGACTATATCCTTAATGTCAGCCCCAGTCCTCACGGCTGTAGCTGCCGGATTACGCTCTGCGCTTGTGGTTGATATCGGATGGGTAGAGACAGTGGTGACTGCTGTGTACGAGTATCGAGAGGTCCAGTGCACACGATCAGTAAGGGGTATGAAAATGCTTGGAGAAGCGACATTCAAAATGCTTGCGGAAGCTATCGATATTGCAGGGACTGCCGACAAGCCAAAGGACGAGGAACTTCCCAGCTTCGAGGAGTGCGAGGAGGTTTCGATTCGAATGGCTTGGTGCAAGTCTGCGAAGAAGCCCCAGCGTACGTCGCTGGCTCGTGGACTTGCGCATGTGGAGGACGAGGAAGCCTTGAGAGCCGGCATGCGAGATTTGCATGTGGACAGGAAGCTTGATGAGGATGCGACAGTCTCCATACCGTTGAAGTCGACGAAACCACGGAGGACCCTGGAGCTATCCTTTTCTGACTTGGCAGAACCCTGTGAAAAGGCTTTATTTGCAACCGAGACACCTGAGAAGGATCTAGACGATGAGGAGCTACCTCTCCACTTGTTGATCTACAGAAGTCTACTCAAACTACCTGTCGACGTGCGATCAGTATGCATGTCCCGGGTAGTCTTCGTTGGCGGAGGATCACATATTCTCGGACTGAAAGGCAGAGCTCTCGACGAAGTGGCAAACCTCATGGATGAGCGTGGGTGGGATCCAGTCTCAGGCAAAGCAGTGGAACAGCTTCGTTCGAATACAAAACTGCGGCGAACACGGTCGAGGCAAGATGGACCTACAGAGGTGTTGCAAGTAGACGAAAAACCCGCAGTGCCGATTATTCCTGCAGATCAGCAAGAGCAAGAAGCCGATCCCATCGAACAGGAGCTGAAGCGAGAAGCTAGTAAAGGGGTTCCGGCTACAGTATCGGGATCACTGCGTGCTGTGGATTCGCTTGGAGCATGGTCTGGAGGAAGTCTGTTGTCCCAGCTCAAGATCCCCGCCATTTCGATGGTAGAGCGGGAGCAGTGGCTACAGCAAGGTGCCTCTGGAGCTTCGAGGTCTATTGATATTTCAATATCTGCTCATCGGCATACTTTGAGTGCTGGAGCATTGAGGACTGGAGCAGGAGACAGGTCCAGCTGGACTTTGGGTCTTTGGGGCTGACCAAAAAATCTTAGAGGGAGATGCCTTGAGACCTTGACTGTAAAAATGCTGTACGATACCCATGGAATGACTGTAGTTTCAAAGAATGATACTGGTCGAGAAACCCTCGACCCTGACTGGCAAGTATTGTCACGTGATGTAAAAAACTGCCAAATTGTGAGCATGTAGCTACCTACCTACATAGTTCTGTGCAGTTGGTTGTGATTTTAATGAGTTCTATGCTTGTGATTCTACAGCCTCGGTAGTGGTTGATCGATAAGTAAATATCTTTTGGTTGGCTGACTCGCCGTAATTTTGTCAAAAGCTCCGAGCTCGCTGAAGCTTCAAAAAGGCCAACTTTCTCGCAATGCACGATGTCACAACCCAGCTTCACCTGTCTGCAATGTCGTCTACGGATTCTCTCGCGAGCTCCACGCCATTATTACCACTCCTCACCGCGCCTCTATTCTGAAGCACCACGGCCATCCTTAGCACCTAAAGTCTCAATCGACATCAAGCACATCCGGCAAAATGCCGCCCTACACGAGAATAATTGCCTGGGGCGCAACTACAAAAAGCAGGCTGAATATCCCGCACGCATAAACAGCCTCTTCGAACGATGGCATGGCTATCAACGCGAAGCTCGCAGCTTGCGCGAGCGCAACAATAGATTGAAGCTGCAGCTTGCGAACCCGACGACCCTGCGCGATGAGGAGTCCGAGGATGTGCGGCGCATCAGGCAGATGACCAAGCAGGAGATCATCGACGAGGCGAAGTCGTTGAAGGTGCAGTTGTCAAAGATTGAGGAGGAGGAGTCAGCTCTCACGACGCAAATAGATGCGCTGGCGGCTGCGATACCGAATCTCACGAGCAAGGAGACACCGCAAGGCAATGACCCGACTGTTGTTGGTTATATCAACCAACACCCCGAGTCTGATCCAGCGGCTTCCGACCGAGTTTGGCGCTCCCATGTGCATATCGGGACTGAGCTTAATTTGCTTGATTTTGCGGGTGCAGCGACGACGAGTGGGTGGGGATGGTATTATCTCTTGAACGAGGCGGCACAGCTCGAGCAGGCTCTTGTACAATATGCCCTTGGGGTAGCTAGGAAAAGAGGATGGGGAATGGTCAGTCCGCCGAGTATGGTGTACAGTCACATTGCAGCAGCCTGTGGGTTCCAGCCCAGGGATCAAAATGGGGAGCAGCAGATATACAATATCCAGCAGAATTCGAGCGACGTGGGTCGGAAACCAGGACTCAGTCTTGCGGGTACGGCGGAAATTCCCTTAGCGAGCATGAAGGCCAATACCATTCTTGATGAGGCGGAGTTACCGGCAAAACGGGTTGGGGTGTCGAGGAGTTACAGAGCAGAAGCTGGCGCGAGGGGCATGGACACGAAGGGTTTATATCGTGTCCATGAGTTTACCAAGGTGGAGATGTTTGCTTGGACAAAGCCGTCTACTGAGGCATCTGTGGCTGTATTCGACGAGATGGTATCGATCCAAACCGAGATCTTGACTAGCCTTGGCCTTCACTGTCGTATCCTCGAAATGCCAATCACAGATCTCGGTGCATCAGCGACCCGCAAGCGAGACATCGAAGCTTTTTTCCCTTCGAGAAGATCGAAAGATAATGGATGGGGGGAGGTCTCGTCTGTCAGCACATGTACGGACTACCAGACTCGAAGACTAGCTACGAGGGTTGATATCAGGACGCTGGGAGGCAAGATTGCGTTTCCTTACACAGTCAATGGAACTGCTTTGGCAGTACCCAGAGTCCTGGCTGCGATTCTGGAGAACGGGTGGGACGAGGCACGAGGGGAGGTCGAGATACCCGAGGTTTTGCGGCCATGGATGGACGGAATGAAAGTCATCAGCAAGAAATCTTATTAATTGATGAAGAGATAGTCATGTATTAATAATGTACATCACTCTCACTCGGCTTCCTGGCTTCTAGCGAAGTTTAGGGACATATCTCCACTTTCTGAGCCACGCATTTTTTTTCTCTCGTACGTGTCGACATTTACTGCTACAAGCGCGACATTTAAACTCCTTTTCCCTTTTCACTGGGATCTATATGCGATTCTCAACGCTATGCCATACTCAGTAGCAATGTAATTTTGCAAATTTGCAACGTACCTTTCTTTACCGGCTTTCGGTAGCAATTGACACGAGGTAGCGGCCCCGAGGTGATGAGGCATCGTTTTAAACTAGTAAGTTTCGCCGCGGGATCGAAAAAGACTTGAAAAAGCTACCGTGGGGGGATTACATGCGATGCGTTCGATAATCCGGCCAAAGGCCGCTTCTCACGAAGTTGATGTCATTCCGCGATAGGCGCTACTACATGCAGGGCTTCTCACGGAAAGGACGGCGAAGTTGATGTGTCGGTGGCCCCAAAATCGTTTTGTACCTTTCTTTCTTGCTAATCTTTTTTTTTTCTTTTCGCTGAGAATGAGAATGGGAAACAGCGAGAATTTAGAAGTAGTACGGAGTTGGCGATGCAGTGTTTTTTTCAATCTATTTCTTGCTTGCTATTAACATTCTACGCAAGTACTTCGTGCATCTATTACTTAGAAAGGAGGAGCGGAAAGCAAGGGGGTAGGCTTGAAGGTCACGTAGAATGCCAAGTCGTTGGAGAGAGACAGCGTCTATTTTTGTAAATATACTTTTATAGCTCAAGGTCGCCTTTAAGCTGCTTTCGAGAATTGATCTCTTTTATATAACTCAATTTAACGCTTTTCCCTCGACTCCTGCTCGCCCGCAATCTCACTTGACCTTTATTATAGCTCTCGTAATACCGTATTTTTCGGTCGCCATAGAACCTTCGAATCTTTAGCTTGTATACTTCATCGAATATTTCGAGCGGAGTTCGAAGGTGCTTTACGCTTCTAATATATCGTGCAAGTGAAAGTTCGACCGAACGAAGAAGGATCGCGGATTTGAGCGCAACCAGAGTAATAGCGGGCCGTATCGTCATCTAGAAAGCCTTCGTATTCGTCCGTAAAATCGAAACCGATTCCATAACGGGTTCCGTTAACTCTGTAAAAAACGATTGAGATCGTAATCTTACGACTCGTTCTCACCACTTCCCGTGTTGACTTAGTCTAGCCAACGAGATGAGATAACGATCTCTTAGTTTTGATAATATCTTTACAACTTTTGGATATGTTTGAACTTCGCTCATCTCTATGCTCAGCAGCTCGGCTTGGGATTTAGATCAAGCGGTATTTGCAAGCGATAAGGGTAGAACCAGCCACCCGTTTGGATATTTTGAGCTCAGCCATCGAGCCGCCATCAATTGGTCTTCCCAAATAGATATGCTGGAGAATCGCTAGCTGATCTGGCACGCATGAAGGGCTTGCGGCCAGGCAGTGACCGGTCGGTATCTAATATACTTCCACCGAGGCAGCCGCTACGGGCCGCACCGCAATCGCATCATACATACCCGGCGCTTGCATCGGAATCACTTTGTCGCTTATATTTCACCTGCGTCTTTACGTCAAACCTGCAGGCTATCTGCGGCGTATAACAATTGTGAATAGGAAACCGCGTTACAAACGACTGTTTGCACGGGCCAAAATATTGCTGCCAGCATTCGTCTGGTAAGAGGAGCGAACGTATATGCAAGGATAGCAGAAGGGAAGGGCGTACTGGCTGTTGAGGAGGCGCACTACTTCTTGAAGGCTCTGGACGACGAACCTCCTACGCATCGACCATGGTCTGCGTAGCCTCCCAATTCAATCAAGGATCGCGCTGCCGCTGCTCTCAAACTGGAGTAGAGGACCACAAGAGAATGTCTTCAATTCGGTATATATATACTTGGTTGATCTCTGACTCAATCTATATTTCCAAGGGGAGGCCTGGCTTCCATTCTTAAATTTACAATTATTCCGCTATTGATAATCATTCCTAAACCCCGGAGAGAAAATTCCACATACCGTACGTAACAACATCGAATATGTCAATAATTTGGTCATGTGTAATTGGCCCACTCGTTATGCCGAGTTGAAATAATCATCGACAGATTGCACAAATAACCTGTATATTGCATAGCATGTGGTCCATACGCAAACAAACCACAGTGCATTATCGAAAAATAGTATCTCTGTATGCAGATGCCCTTGCTTGACCTTTATTGTTTGTACAACAGTACTTGTAGGGCCACAGAGGCGGTTTCGAAACTTCGAGCCTGCCGTCCATTCTATACGATGGGGTTCCTCAAGAAAGGGTCATAGCGTGAGATTCAATCTTATTCGTCGGATAAACGTTGACAAAACATCAAAGAAGGTGGCGTGTCGAGGTATGTCGTCAGCAGAAGACCCGACCCGAGCATCTTTGAAACCGCATCTTAGTTCCCGAGGCACGGGTACCCGTAGTCCACGTTTCGGCACGATTTTCAAGCATCTCGCCACATGGGAAAGAAACAGCTAGTGTCTCGCGAGCTCCGTCGAAAGCCGAGAAATGGTCGGTGGTTAGGTGAGAATGAGTAAACGCTCGCCGCAGTCGACTCTCGGGTTTTTGATGATATCACCGTAAGATCTACTGGGTATTAGATCGATGGTGTGTCAGAATTTTGCCTCTACCCGGTCCTTCACCGGTACTTGAGGCTGGAAAGTGTCCAGTTTGTGCTTTAGATCACAGGGTAACCTCTGAGATGCATACATTTGAGGCTGTTGGCGCCCCAAATTTCACAGGGGGCCAAAGGCTACTTTCAAATTTACATACAGGATTTGAACTTCTCAGCTTCGGGTGCGTTGAATGCTTTTGTTCCGGCTCTTTTATTGTTGTACGAGAGCCTGAATTGCATCAGGTATATGCACAATAATAGATGATAATATTTATCTTCCACGTGGGGACGGAACTACCGAAGACTAGAAGACGTTTAGAAACTTGGCTCAAGCTTCTACTGATGGTCCGCGGAAAAGGACTTCTAGCTCGTGAGCTTGGTCGGGACGTTGGGGACGTCCGGGTCCTGCGCTTTGATCCTTGGTAACTTGGAAAGCACGGGCGATCTGAGCTGAGATCGTGGGAAAACAAAAATTTTTATTGGGCGGATAGATGCTGTAGCTATGAGATGAGTGTCGGGTACTGATCGGAAACTAACAAGTTGTTCTTCGGAATACCTAAGGATGGGAGGAGGAGCGATGTCGTTGGAATTACGCGAGAAATTTGCTAAGCTACGCTAGACATAGACAAGGTTGATTTCCACAACATTATTTTCACTTCAACCGCCTCAACAGCGCAAGGGTGCTTTCATCCCGCAGTGCAGCGAAACATGTTTCAAGATACATGTACTGGCTTCTTTTCGCTTCATCTCATATCTGATGACATATGCCAATCCCGGAAAAGAATCTCCATCCATACCGCCCAATATGAGCTGCCCTCGACAAGCTCTCGTTGCATGCATGATTTGATTAGGGTGTCTTGAGGATTGTGCAGGAACTGAATCTTGTATTGTTTCTGTCATATCATTAATTGCGTCTATGATTGACTAATGTTTCTTTCCTGAGCTCTGTTCTCCAGTCAAGCCATGTTATGCCGCTCGTCCTGGCTGACATCTGGTGAGAGTATCGTGGACTAGTGCGGAAAGTTCTGACTACCTCTGACGTTTGCTTTCATCGGCGCCACTCTAATCCTCTTCGAGGGACGAGTGTCAGTATTGCTCACTATTTTCGTATTCCTGTGCCGGAAGTCCTAGATATTTTGCACTCGGACCTAACAAAGCGTCTGGCTTAGAGCCTTGTTGGTCCGCGCCAGATGCCAAATATTAGTTGCCAAGAGTTTCTAGAATCGAAGTTTGAGCTCAAGCATTTGTAATATTTGGAGCCAGAACCTGGCGCTTGGGTGAGTCTGATGTGATCCGATAGTCCGATCCCTTATCCGAACCCGGTTCATGTCGAGCATCACTAAGCGCGGCATGTATACTGCACCGACCGGTAAGCATGGTGCAAGAACTCATATATAGAGTCGGCACCACCTCTCTACTTTTCGATCATCATCATTCGATCTTCAGATCTTTATTCAATACAGACTACTAGAACTCCTAATACTTATCTCCCTTAAGATTTTCCTCGACTTCTTCCGTTCTTTCAGTCAACGTACCATCCCTCTAAGATTTCCTCTCTAATACAATTGAAACTTCATTTCTCGACACTCTTCAATCACCATGAGCGACTACTCACTCACCATGAACGTGATCCTCTTTGGCGACCAGACGGCGGATCCTCAGCAGTTCTTGACGAAGGTCCTGCGCCGCAAAGGATCTCCCCTCCTCTCCTCATTCTTGGAGCAAGCACAGGTCGTCCTTCAAGAAGAGGTGTCGTCTCAATCACCCAGCCATCGGCGGGAGCTGCCTGCCTTTTCGAATATTGCCGAGCTTGTTGAGAGATACTACAAAGCCGATCGACCCAATATTGCGATTGAGAGCACCGTCACCTGCTTGGCCCAGTTGGTTCATTTCATAGGAGTGAGTATTGAGTTGCTTTCCAGAGTTCTTGGCAGATGGCATTTTTCGCAATCAGATTTTTAGCAAAACACCGCTAACTGTTGATAAAGTACTACGAACAATACCCTCTCGAGTATCCTCGATCCGCTAGCTCACAGATTCTGGGGATCTGCACTGGACTCCTCTCCGCATCTGTTGCTGCTTCGAGCAACTCCCTGTCCTCCTTTGTACCCCTCGCAGTGCAGGCAGTGCGAATTGCTTTCCGAACAGGCTCAAGAGTCTCAACTATTGCAGAACAACTGGAGCGCACAACAGACCAGTCGAAAACATGGTCCACTGTAGTTGTTGGGATCACTCGAGACGATGCAGAGATCGCTCTAGCGGAATTCAACCGTGCACACGTAAGCACATCTTGTATCTCGCCGTTTCTTCTGGAAGCTATTCTAATTCTCAATTCCAATAGGGTCTTTCAAAGTCCAAGTGTCTCTACACCAGCGCTGTGGGGTCTATGTCCGTGACAATCAGCGGACCACCATCCGTGCGCGATCGCCTCTTCGATACATCACTTCCCTTCCAAAATCTTCAGCGAAGGGAAATCCCAATCAAAGGACCTTACCATGCGGCCCATCTTTACAATGCATTGGATGTGGACAGAATCATTGACGCGGATATTGCTAGTCGCCTGGAGAAATATTCAGTGATACACCCGGTCACGGGAATGTCACAGTCGGGCTCTACATTGGAGCTTTTCCAAGACTGCATTCGGGACATTCTGTGCAACCAAGTTCAGTGGGAAGCACAAGTTAAAGCTTGTGTTGCAGCAGTCCGTTCATCATCTGCCTCTGGGGTCAGGGTCCTTGCCATGGGACCAACTGCACTCGCCAATCCCCTCGTATCGGCCTTGAAGGTGGGAGGCGGTCTATCCATAATTTTGGAGGATGGGGTGTCTTTCTTGGCTCAAAATCGACTGCCCAAAGCACCTATGGGTGAACTCAGGAACTCCAAGATCGCAATCATCGGAATGGCTGGCAGGTTCCCAAATGCCGCAGACCATGAGGCTTTCTGGGATCTGCTTGTGCAAGGGCTTGATGTTCATCGCGAGGTTAGTGATTCTCTTCACCCTGCTTGATCAAAATTGACAATTCAGATACCTGGTGACCGCTTTGATGCCCAAGCACACTGTGATCCAACTGGAAAAGGCAGGAACAAGAGTCATACCCCATATGGCTGCTTCATCGACAGTCCTGGCTTATTCGACCCCCGGTTCTTCAACATGTCTCCACGGGAAGCTACCAAAACCGATCCGATGCAGAGGTTGGCTTTGTCCACCGCTTATGAGGCTATGGAGCAGAGCGGCTTCGTCTCTGATCGCACACCGTCCACAATGAAGCACCGTGTTGCTACTTATTATGGACAGACTAGCGACGACTGGCGTGAAATCAATGCCGCTCAGGATATTGATACCTATTTCATCACTGGTGGCGTCAGAGCTTTTGGACCCGGCCGAATCAACTACCACTTCGGGTTCAGCGGACCATCTTTCAGTGTTGATACAGCATGCTCTAGCAGCTTTGCTGCGATCCAATTAGCCTGCACATCATTGAGAGCCGGCGAGTGCGATACAGCATTTACTGGCGGCATGAACATTTTGAGCAATCCCGACATCTTCAGCGGGCTTTCCAAGGGACAGTTCTTATCGAAGACTGGATCTTGCAAGACCTATGACGCAGGTGCGGATGGTTATTGCCGTGGCGATGGTGTTGTCACTTTGATTCTCAAACGGCTCGATGATGCAATTGCAGAGAACGATCCGATTCTCGGTGTTATCAACGGTATCGCAACAAATCACAGCGCAGAGGCTGTCTCAATCACCCACCCGCATGCCGGAGCCCAGAAGTTCCTGTTTCAGAAGGTCATGGACGAGGCTGAGGTCGACGTCCGGTCGGTGAACTACGTCGAGATGCACGGGACTGGGACACAAGCTGGCGACGGAGTAGAGATGGATTCAGTGTCTTCAGTCTTTGCTCCTACGGCCGCAAGTAAGAGGATGCGTGGTAAGGACCAGCCGCTGTTTGTTGGGTCTGTCAAGGTATGTACTATTTAACTCTATATACAGAGTAGTCTAGAAGCTCCAGGCTCTTTGCTAACTACATCACAGTCTAATATTGGACACGGAGAAGCAGTCTCTGGGGCCTGTGCGATGGTGAAGGTTCTGATGATGTTTCAGAAGAACTTGATTCCACCGCATTGTGGAGTCAAAACCTCGATCAATCCGGCTTTCCCTAAAGATCTCAAAGAGCGATCTTTGGATATTGCTTTCAAACCTACGCCATTTGTCCGATCTGCAGAATCCCCTCGCTACGTCTTTATCAATAATTTCAGCGCTGCGGGAGGGAACACCGCGCTGTTGCTTGAGGACGCACCGAGGAAGCCATTGTTGAAGATCGACCCTCGGTCCAGCCACCTCGTGATCATCACTGCCAAATCCCTGTCTTCATTCAAACAGAATGCAAAGAGGCTTCTGGCGTGGGCAAGTGACAAGAATGATTCAATCCTTCCCAGTCTGGCATACACAACAACAGCACGACGCAACCATTACCCTTACCGCCTCGCGTTTGAAGCGAATACCATGAGTCATGTCCGTAATACTCTGGGCCCTCTGATCGAGGCTTCCCGGGCCCCAATCTCTTCCAGCAAGAAGCCTTCTGTGGCTTTCAGCTTCACTGGTCAAGGTTCTCACTACCTTGGGATGGGCAAGACACTTTTTGAAGATGTGCCTCAATTCCGTCGAGATATCGAGGACTTCGACCAAATCGCTACCAGCCACGACTTCCCCTCTTTCATCGGCCTCATCGATGGCAGCATTGCTGATCTTGCTACCGTATCCCCTGTCGTCACTCAACTTGCGATTGCGTGCCTCGAGATGGCCATCGCCAAGCTCTGGGACTCTTGGGGAGTCAAACCATCTGTTGTCATCGGACACTCTTTGGGTGAGTACGCAGCCCTTCAGGTCGCCGGGGTTATATCAGTAGTCGACACCATTCTTCTCGTAGGACACCGTGCGCAACTTCTGGTCTCGAAGTGTGCCATGGGTAGTCACGGCATGCTGGCAGTGCGAGCCAGTCTCTCTACGATAGAGCCAATGATTTCTCACATTCCTGTCGAGAAGGCTTGCCACAATGGTCCAGAAGATCTCGTTTTCTCCGGTACAGTCGATAGCATCGAGCAACTCAGAGAGACCTTGACGGCAGCTGGGTTCAAAGCGACTAAGCTCAATGTCCCCTACGCTTTTCACTCAGCCCAGGTCGACCCTATACTTGAGGACTTCAAGCAGCTCGCCAAAGCCATTGTTTTCCATCAGCCACGTGTACCAGTCATCTCCACTTGCCTAGGCAGTGTTGTTTCACAATCGGATATTTTCGGGCCAGAATACCTTGCCAGACACTGCAGAGAGAGTGTGAACTTCTTTGGTGGTATCAGCTCTGCCCTTGACAGCGGCTTTATCAGCAGCGAGAGTGCCTGGATCGAGGTTGGTCCTCATCCAATCTGCTCCAATATGGTCAAGAGTACCCTTGGAAAGGAGACTACCGCCGTACCATCCCTTAATCGTAATGACAATCCCTGGAAGACACTCTCGAGCAGCTTGTCGTCGCTCTTCAACATGGGCGTACGCATTGTAAGTTCTACAAGAGTTCTTTGATCCATTTACAGATTCCTGGAAACCAATTACTGACTTTATTTCTATTTAGGACTGGTCTGAGTATCACCGTGACTTTAGCCAATCCCATGAGGTTCTGCCGCTTCCATCATACGCCTACGACGACAAGAACTATTGGATCGACTACGTTGGTAATTGGACTCTGACGAAGGGTGACACTTTCAAGGCTGCACCACCAGTCAAGCCGAAGTTCTCAACAACCTCGATACAGAAGATCACTCACGAGCAAATTGACTTCGACTCCGCGGTCGTTACTGCCGAATCAGATCTTGCTGAGCCGCTACTACGTGCCGTGGTTGAGGGGCACTCAGTCGCCGGTGCTGGTCTTTGTCCGTCGACGCTCCTAGCAGATATGGCTATGACACTTTGTGATTACGCCTACAAAACTGCCAGGCCGGATGCCCCTAAACCATACGTCAACATCATGAACATGGAGAATCACAAGACTCTGATCCTCAATGTCACAAAGAGCTCCCCTAGCCAGATTGTCAGAGTTGAGGCCAAACTAGACTTCGCTTCCGGAAAGGGTGAAATGTTCTTCCGGGCCGTTGGGTCTGATGGAAGCCTCGTTGATCACTCAAGATGCGACATCAATTATGAAGACCCGGCCGCATGGACCAAGGAGTGGGAGAGGCAGAAGTTCCTCGTCCAAACCCGTGTTGATATGTTGAAGAATGGGGGCAAGGGTATCCATACTGTCCAGCGAGGATTGGCTTACAAGCTTTTCTCTGCCCTTGTCACTTACGACGACAAATTCCGAGGGATGGAGGAAGTCATATTGAATAGCGATGCATTGGAAGCAACTTCCGTTGTCAACTTCCAGGCAAGCAGCAAGGATGGCAACTTCTTCATGAGCCCCTACTTTATCGACAGTGTTTGTCACATCACCGGCTTCATTATGAATGCCAACGATGCTGTGGATTCCAAGAAGCAGGTCTACATTTCTCATGGCTGGGAAACACTGCGATTCGCGAAGCCCCTCGAAGCCGATAAGCAATACAGATCTTACTGCAGAATGCAGCCTGTTGCTGGAGCTGGCAAAATGGTTGCTGGTGATGTCTATGTCTTCGAAGGAGATGATATCATTGGAGTTGCTGGTGGTGTCAGATTTCAATGTGTGCCACGAGCCCTGCTTGATACCCTTCTGTCGCCAGCGAAGAGCAAGGCGGATTCCACCCCAACCATGCCAGCACCAGTCTCGAAGGTCAAGCAGCAGACCGTACCCAAGACCAGGACCAGCACAAAGAGCCGAATTTCAGCAGCTGCCGAAAAACTCTCCTCTGCTCAGGCAGTCAAAGCCACGAAAGAGTCAGAAGCAAAAAATCTGGAAGTCGTGGTCACTAGCAATCTGGTTGCCAAAGCTATGCAGATTATTGCCGATGAAGTCGGTTGTGAGATGTCCGAACTTGCAGATGTGAGTGCACCTTCCCCCATTCAACAGATCCCTGCTAACTGGCTTGAAGCCTATTGAGTTGTCCGATCTCGGTGTCGACTCACTGATGGCACTCACTATTTCGGGTAGATTCCGCGAAGAATTGGAGCTTGACTTTTCCAGTACTGTCTTCAACGACTTATCTACAATCTCTCACCTCAAATCTCATCTGCGCCAGTTCGAGAGTGTCAGCGAGTCCTCCGCAGGATCTTCGGGAATGTCAACACCAGACATGGTTGACTCGGACACTAGCGACTCCGAGTATTCATACAATTCGGATAACGAGGCAATGATCGAGGAATTGAACGAAAATGATGAATCTGAGGAATCGGATCTCATTCACACCATTCGCTCAACCATTGCTGAAGAGATGGGAGTCGAGCTGGAGGAAATCACGGACAACACAGACCTGGCCACCATGGGAATGGACTCTCTGATGTCTTTGAGCATCCTCGGCGCATTGAGAGAAAAGACGGGCTTGACGATGAATTCTGACCTGCTGGTCAGTAATACATCGATCGACATGATTGAGACATCTCTGGGCCTCCGAAAGGCCAAGTCCCAAGTAGCATCTCTCGCCCTGAACCCCTCCGTCCTCAAGGCATCAGTTCCACTGCCGATGCCTACGCCCAAAGCAGAAAGATTCTCGACGGCATCTTATCCCCCAGCAAGCTCCATTCTCCTTCAGGGCAACCCCAGAACGGCGCAACATACCCTCTTCCTTTTGCCTGACGGATCTGGCTCGGCAACTTCATACGCCCCAATTCCCGATATTGCTGCTTCTGACCTTATCGTCTACGGTCTCAACTGTCCGTTCATGAAGACGCCCGAAGACTTTACCATCGGCGTCGCAGCAGTGTGCCAGATCTACATGGCTGAGATTCAACGCCGCCAGCCAAAGGGCCCTTACAAGCTTGGTGGTTGGTCAGCGGGAGGAGTGCTTGCTTACGAGATGACTCGACAGTTCATCCGCAAGGGTGAGACGGTCGAGAGACTTCTCTTGATAGACTCTCCCTGCCCTGTGAAGCTGGAAGCTCTACCATCTTCATTCCACCGTTACTGCGACAAGATTGGTCTCCTCGGCAAGCCTGGCGCCAAGATCCCCAGCTGGCTGCTGCCACATTTTGCCTCTGCCGTCCGGGAACTGACAAACTACTCTGATAGTTTGGGGGATGCGAATGATATTGATGTGTCGAAGATGCCTCCCACCACAGCGATCTGGGCTCGTGATGGCATCGTCCATCTGGAGACCGACCCAAAGCCTGAGTGGGACCCTGCTGTGCCCATGCCAAACTCCATGGACTGGCTTACCCACAACCGCACCGATCTCGGCCCCAACGGCTGGGAAAAGCTGGTCGGCGCTGAGAATATCGAATGTCAGAGCACGGCAGGGAATCACTTCACCATGATGAGACAGCCAGTCGTAAGTCTAACCCCACACCCCTAGAAATCTATATGAATGGCGACTAACATTTCAACAGACGGCAGAACTGGCAGCCTTGATGAAAGCGGCTCTCAAGCTATAGAATTTCAATATCATCTTGTCCGATTAGTTGTCTATGTATTGTATCATGACGGAGTAGGCGGATATTTGTTTGGGATTTTGCTTCTGTCTGGCGTCCTCTCAGCGATTTGTGGAAGTCAACGGGTATTTGGCTATCGCATTTAATGATTTAAAGATCTGTATAATCCATTTAATGAGGAGCGGGCTGGGCTAGAAAAGTTTTGTTCTTTTAACGAATTTCTTTTTTAGAATGAATCAAGTTACATCAATTAAAGCACGGCGGCGATCTAAGATCTGTCGGTCATGGTCCTTATTCATGCAAATGACTCCTGTTTAAGATCTACACCTCATCCTTCAATTCGTTACAGAAAATCGCGCGGATTAGATTTGAAGGAGCTCTTTATTCAAATTATGTATAATTCTCTAGGAGAGGGATCAAGATTCACTATTTCTCTCCTTCTTCTTCTTCTTCTCAATCTATTCAAACCATATCTTAGCCGATGCACATATACAAACATACACACATACATATAATCCCCCCCCCCAAAAAAAAATTCGAAATTAAATTCCGACTCCAGATTTTATTTCTGTCATGATTTACTTCTAATAATATATATGCATAAACGATAGGAAGGTATAAGTGGTGGTCGTGATATAATATAGCCGTCGCTAGCAGCAGCAGCAACAGCAGCGATGCGGATGGATGCTTCTCCGTAGTTGGCCCCGTTCTTCTGGTCAGCCAGCACAGTACGTGAGGTTGGTAAGATTAAAGATAAGGTACGGATGTACGCCACTTCCCGGTCCGGCGGGTAACGGACATGGTCAATGCGGTCCGGAGACTTTCTGCTGCTGCTGGGTAATCGTACCCCCTGGTCGGAGTACAAGTCAGGCAAGGGTTGCGGTTCTTAGTACCAGTACTCTTCAGTAATACGGTCAATTTTAGACCTTTTTTCTTACAACACATACATCCATTATGATTTTAATAGAAAAATCAATTTTGAGATAAAATATTACTGTTTAGTTATGGACCTATTCTAGGAATTTTTTTAAGAGTCAATAGAATTTTTGGAACGCAGTTATATCCGTATTTCAACCTCGTCGGCGCTATTCAAACAAACCTTTAATTAAGTAAACAGCTAAGTGATTAAGCAACTATAGATAATTACATGTAACCTCCTTAAAAACCGTAATCGCCAGCTTCGAATCTATACCTCTCTCCGTTTTCAGTAGCCCAACGTAGCAATAGATCTACCGATCATTATAAGTTCGTCTCTTTTTAAGTGCACCGATCAATTCTAAAGCCTCGCATCTGGACTTACTAGATAGAACCGCCATGGCACATCATAATCAATTCATTACAGCACGCATATAAAACTTTTCTATGAAACGATTGATAAATATTAAAAAGTAAGTATACTTACCTAAGCTCATCTATTATATATACGATAACGCGTTATTTAAGCCTTTTTTTGTAATATATAATTTTCGGCCATTAAGTTTCGCGCTGAATTGACGAAGAGGAATGATGAATTTGGCGGCAATCGCGCTCGATTTGGCATAAGGATTGGGATTTTCTAAATGCTATAGCTTTAGCGATATGATTCTCCGTTTCGGCATCAAATTTAGTCATGGCAAGGATAACTAATCGCGTATAGAAAAATCACGAAAAAATTGACCGTTTTACTGAAAGAGTGCTGAGAACCGCAACCCTTGCCTCTCTGACTTGTACTCCGACCAAGGGTACGATTATCGACTTGCAGTTGGTGATCTGTTCTGCTCGTTCTTTACACAACTGCGTATCGATCGGAGGGCGGGAAGAGAATGAAATGCCATATGATTGAATGGAATTGGACCGATAATAGTCAGAGGTCACTGACTTTGCACAGGGTCTTACCAGGGAGGGCTTGAACCAATCAAGTTATACTTCGTAACGATTCAGCCTTGAGAAGCATCTTTAAGCGAGTATCTACATTATGCAATAGAGTTGACAAGGCATTGAGCCGTTCAGAAACCACCGTTCTACTATTTATCTTTCATTCAGGGGGGGGGGACTGTAGTACGAAGTTGCAAAACTGTCTCGACTCCTTATTTGCAGGCTACTCAGTTTTTCCAGAACTCTGAACCACGGAAAAAGAGGGTCGGTTTGGTCAAAAGAGAGCAGCCAACAGGAGAGCTGAGATCGCGCAATAAAGGGAGAACTTACCACCAAAATGACTCCACTTCTCTTCCCGTGGTTCAGACTTCTGGAAAAAAACAGAGTACGATATACCCTTTTGTCGGCCTTGGCAAGGGCCAAGAACACCCAAACCTTAGCGTATCGCCTATGAAGATAAAGTAATTATGCTCTCAACTTTCAAGAGAGTTGCCGGGCTATAAACTTCAATGCCCTGAAAAGCTTGTCGGAATGCTAGGGAGTGCATGATCAAGAGCTTTGGCCCGATTAGACGGACTTTGCAGCCAAGTTAACGTACTGAGTTGTCCTAAAATATAGAGTTGATGCCACAGCCAAGAGGTTAGAGGTTCAGGTCGACGGTTTCAGGACATGACGATCACTGACCTGCCGACCTGCGTAGCACTACTGTACTGATGTATTATCTCGACCTGCGGATACTCTAGTCGGCTTAGTTTGCCCTTGGTAATTTGACATAGAAGGAGGCCGACATACCGGTAGACGTGTACAGAGTATGAGCCTTACTAATTCGCTGAGTATAGCTATCGACCGCGCTCAGTTTAATGCTGGATTTGCATTGGTTTTTGGATAATGCAATTATTATCGTCGGCGCTGTATCCGCACAAAGATATCTATTGCTTTGCCAAAAAAAATATTCCTTATTTTTCTCTTTCTCTTCGACAAAATATTTTCTCTGCTCCTCAGCGCAGGCCCAGCAAGGCGTTCTATCTCGGAATCAGGTCAGGATAACTGAGCAGCTTAGCTCATGACCATGCGGAATCCCCGTTTTCAGCCTTGACTCAGTTAATAACTCACCCCTTATACGCCAGGTTGCGTTAACTCGGCTGCCAAATCCGTCTATTAAGTTGTATCTGTATTACAGTGGTGCTCTCCCAGAGTTACCTGGGCTTTAGTTAGCATTGACCATTTTCTTATTTCCACGTGACCAATAAATGCGAGGACCGCTGATCAGCTGTTCTTCGGACTACCCTTCCGGAGGACCGTAATGTCTGCAATGCAGTGCAGGCACGGTGCCTCCCTCGCTTGAGGGGTCCGGGGAGAGGTTATTAACACTTAAGCGAGTTCTAAGGATTTAAGATTTAAGAGGAGAGGAGAAGAGTTTTTGTAGAGTTGAGTTTCGAGTCAAGTTTAGTTGTTTTTGATAGAGAGGGAAGGAGGTTTTTCTAAGTGTGAACAAATGCTGAGGGCTTGAAAGGGCGGACTCTCGTCAAGATTTTTTTGGAAGGATTATGAAGGAGAAGACGTGGTGTCATGATGAAGTTTCGGTGTGGTGATCAGACAGGTCGACAGTGAGCTGGCGTCTCGCTACCTTTATCCCACTTCTTCGAATAGAATCGTGTCTGACTTTTGAAGCAAGAAATGATGGGCCAGTCAAGATTCTGCATCGTTGACCTAAACGAGAATCCGAGTGGGCATGCACCCGGATAATAGTCTCTTGTAAGTAGATTGGGTCTATTGATTCAAAATGCAAGTTTCCAGTATTATAAGCACATGCCCTCAATGCACCTCAACCAAGATCTGCTGCCCTCCCGCCGCCACCGAGCCAAGAACCTCATCCCTAAACTCCCCCACCTCCCCCTCATCAACAGCAGGCATCTCCATGTCCTCATAGATATCCCTAAACACCTTCTCAAACTCATGCTCGCTCCACCTGACCGTCGGCTTCAACCCGGCAAACTTCCACTCGCCGTTCACCTTCGCATAATAATGCACGTTCGAAGCGTGAACATGGCCTTTGTGCCTGACCTCCTCCAGCGCGGGCGTCGTGTAGACCTGGTGCGCGGCGCGGATCTGGTGGTAGCCGATGATCTGGCTGTCGGAGACGCGCTCGTATCGGCGTGCTCCGAGCAAGTGTTGTGTTTCGAGACACGGGTTGCCGAGGAAATTGGGGCTCGATACCATCTTTACGAAGGCGGCGGCAGACACTTGTGAAATGTGAATGTTAGCAAATGCAACCATGAGCCCCTTCCTCCGTATGTTTTTCTGGCGATTTCTCTGAGTCGAAGGATTCTCTGGCATTGCAACACCGCTTGTCTTCCGAAGTTGAGGCTTCTCGCTCGAGACATGCTAGCATAGGAAGAGAGGATTTCGAGTGAGGGATTGGCATACTTTTAGGCCATAGGCACGCCTTGCCGATGCTCGTATAGTCGATTAGAAGATTTGGAGCGAGGATACTCTTTAGACGAGCCCAATCCTGTGGATGTGTCAGAAATCCTCATAATATTTCCGAGAGTTCGCGAAAGTGTAGGCGTACCTTCGCGTCGTAGCTATCCGCCCATTCGAAGACTAAAGATTCGAGTACGAGATACTCTAAAGAGGAAAAACCAACGTCAGGACAAGTATTTTTGGAAGTTGGAACTTGGTATCCCTTTACCTTCGAAAGATATAGTCTTTTTGCTCTGCCAGAGTCCATCGTTGTGCGGCGCCTCAGCGCAAGGTGATTTGGAGTGAGGCATGGTTTGGTGGATTTATGGAAGGCAACTTTCCAGGCTGGGGGAGAGAAAAGAACTATGGGGGTGAGTAGTTGTACACGATACAGAAGGTGGGTGTTGTTTATAGATGAAGCAGGCAAAACAGCTCGGTGGACGTCGTGTGCTCGCTCAAAGAATTCTATCTGGCTGGCGCCAAAGTCCCAAGACGGAAGAAACTACACCACCATGGGCAAGAAAGTATCGGACTCTCATACTCCCAGGAGTACACTGCCACTGTCCGAAAGTCGGATGTTACACACATTCCGTGAGACAACCCGCGATCTCCACAACCAGTCCGTCGGTATTCGGAAATTAAGGAAACGAGGGACAGTCAGTTCCTACGAGTCCAGGCGACCGGTATTCAGCCCCCGCTCCCCCAAAAGGAACCCACACCGGCGAGCACGGATGCCGGTCGAGCGTCGACCAAAGCCCGGAAGAGCGAGCTCAAGACACAACTCTGAATCGGTAGCTTCAAAGCGAAACAGAAAATAATCATTGCGCGCGCTTCTTTTCTGGCCGGGAATCTGATGTGGTTCACTCACTCCTTGCAATTGCGGTCAGGATCCGGACTTTATACGGACGGAGATCCGAGGGATGGACCGGATGGTGAAGCCGAAAGGACGAGTGCCGAAGGAGGACTGAGCGTTGATGCTGCACGACACGCATGTGATTTTGCGCCGTAAATGCATCCGTCCAACGGGAATTGGCCATGGATTGGAGTGCGTCCCACGGTCCCAGCGAGCTCTAGACAGAAATAAGTGTAGCCTCATCACCACGGAGTCCGCGCTCGTGTATGATATCCGATATAAGTTCGAGGAACATCTTTCAGACAGAACTCTCATTCTTTATCAAATATCCAAGTTCAACACCATCGATATCAATACTCTTCAACTTTCTCACAACCATGGGTTCAATCAGCGCCACATCCCCTGACTACCAGGTAAGCTCGCTCGCCAAACCTGCAGCAATGCTCAAACCATAGGCAAAGCTCGATTGAAGCTCTACCGTCTGTTTGGTACCATACTGATTTGCCGAAAAGGTCGGCTCCCTTGAAGGAAAGGTTGCACTCGTTACCGGGTCTGGCCGTGGAATCGGACGAGGCATCGCCTTAGGCCTTGCCCAGCGAGGAGCTTCAGTCGTTGTCAACTATGCAAACACAGCGAAGGGTGCCCAGGAGACTGTTTCACAGATTGAGCAGCTGGGAAGAAAAGCGTTCGCGATAAAAGCCGATGTAACGAAGGTGTCTGAAGTCGAGCGGCTCTTCAAGGAGGCCGTGGCGCACTTCGGCCGCATCGATATTGTCATGTCAAACTCGGGAACGGAGAACTTCAAGTCGGCCGACCAGATCACAGAAGCGGATTATGACAAGGTTTTCAGGTCAGTACAATCTGCTCTGAGGCCTTGTTTCTCTAGGCTCAGGGATAGCTCGGAGAAACACCATGCTGACTGTTCGTCCAGCCTCAACACCAAAGCTCAGTTTTTCGTCGCGCAGCAAGCTTATATCCATATGGAGAAAGGAGGAAGAATCATCCTTATGTCGTCGATTGCCGCTACCATGTCTGGGGTTCCCAACCACGCCCTCTACGCAGGAAGCAAAGCCGCAGTGGAAGGCTTCACTCGCAGCTTTTCAGCAGACTGTGGCCCTACCAAGAGCATAACTGTCAACGCTATCGCCCCCGGCGGAGTAAAGACGGACATGTTCGACGAGTAAGATATCAGTCAAACTATCGAGATGGGGATTGACTAATCATTCGCAGGAATGCCTGGCATTATTCCCCAGGAGCCACCCCGGAATCATCTCCGGAATCCATCGAAGCTGGCATTGCAAAGATGTGTCCTCTGAAGCGATGCGCAGTGCCTGAAGACATTGCCAGAGTCGTTGCCTTCTTGGCGAGTAAGGAGAGCGAGTGGATCAACGGCCAGATTATTAAATTGAGTGGAGGATCGAATGCATAATTAAGGAGACGACTCGAGGGTTAAGTAATGAGGAAAGAGGAGTCCTAGGCAGCATTTACTCCTTCGAAATTCTGATATATTTTGTTGAGAAAGTTTCCATTCGAACGTTGGTATTTGGAGGAAGTTTTGAGTCGAAATGGGAGCTGGCTGGATGCTTAGTAATTTATTCCCTTGTTTACTATTACTTCAAGTGGCGTGCTCACGTGCTCACGTGCACCTCGGCGCCTCGGTACCTCGGCAACAACATCCTACGCAAAACTCGGCAGCTATCAAACTGCACTGCATAGAAAACTTCCAACATACTTCGTGATGTGCCATCTGATAGATCGCAATTTTCGCTCCGCTGGTCAATAGCACCCACCTGCCTGCGTGTAATATTAGACTTAAATTCTAATTTTCTTCTATTCTCATCTCATAACGTGGGATTATCGCCGTTAAACATGTTCCGTTTCACATCTCCTGGTTCACCTTGCGCTTTCTTTCTGCCTTCTCTCTTTTTTTTCGCTTGATTTAATGCTAGATCGCAGAGGCGATAGCGCTTGATCATGAGTGCGGAAACTAGCCGTCGTCCGAAGCCATGGACGGTCCAGATGTGTAACAGGAACGGAGGATCACTCCGAAGCGAGTAAGGAATACGGATACGTAGTGTTTTGTACAGGTTTGGCTATGGTTTGAAAATAGAACCTTGAGACTCGACACTGCTTTTCTCACTTAAACGATGGTTGCAAATTTGGATCAAGTCGGAAAAAAGTGCTCATGACGTTGATGATGATGTTGATGTTGATGGTAGACTGTTTGCCATCTTCAGGATAATTGCGCTCCATTATTGCTTCATTCAGTGTGTCTGATCCTACCTCAAAGTTCTGAAGTCTCCATAAAGGAGAGCAGGACGGTTTCCCTTGAATATCCACATTCGACACCTTCACTTGGCCTTCGTCGCCTTTGAATAGCCCGAGTCGTCCCAGATAACAAATTATTGAGATACGATACAAGTGTGAGACATACTGCTCATTGATAAGATGTACCCGGAAAATCTGTCAGTCTTGCCCCGACGAGTTTCATCAGTACCACAGGGAAAATCCGAATGCTTGACAGGTTCACACATTGGCGTAAACTCCTTGCGACTTCCGTCACCTTTTGCTCGAAACAAATGGTCCCAGAGCATCTGCACAGACCGGCCCAGTATGAAGCCAGAATGTCCCCACTCGTATAGAACAGTGGTCAAAATAAGACCCTTCGCCTCGCAAGGCCTAACTTTTGCACTTTCTTGTATCGATTAATGCCCAATCGCGAAAAAAATAACCATTTCACAGTCATTGATATTCTGCAATTCTGATTCCGGTAAGAAAATGGTCAACACTGGGAAGCCAAGCAAAGGATGCTATATGTGTCGAGCACGCCGGATCAAGGTACGATGCTCTGATACTCTTCACAGTGCTAGCGATATGCCAACGTCGTCGATTCCTAAATGGTGTCTGACTAACAACGCACAGTGTGACGAAGCAAAGCCTCATTGCATGAGATGTCAAAAATCAAAGCGAATTTGTCCTGGTTATCGAGATGCTTTGGAGCTCAAATTGCGTGATGAGGGCAAATTGACGAAGAAGAAAATGGCCCGGAGAACCAGCCAGGATAAATCTACTCTCAGCAGCCTTGTGCAAATCAATAAAGATGCGGCTTCGGGGTTGTTCGCAGATACCTCACATTCCTTCAGCTCCATGTCCTCGCAAAGTTCGCATTCACGTAATACCTCAACATCAAGCTTCACATCTCAAGGCTCGGTCGACTCCTGGATATCTGACTCTGCGATGTCGCATCATCAATCCTGCAATATCATCACCAGATACATGTCCACGCCACTTGATGAGCGCGCCTCGTGCTATTTCCTTGCGAATTTCATTCTGGTCCCAGAAAACGGTACCATGACAGGCCACCTGGACTTCGTCATTCCTCTTTTGAAGCAAAGAAATCCCCCCCAGTGCATAGTACAAGCTTTCTCAGCTGTGACTCTAGCCGCTATGGGGACTCGACCGGATTCGAAAACGTTACTTCCAGCAGCAGAGCTGGGGTACCTGAAGGCGCTGAAGGAGATTAACGGTGCCCTCCAAGATCCGAACAATGCGTCCTCTGATTCAACACTTGCTTCGGTCATGTTGATGGCATTATTCGAGGTATGAACAGTTGGTCCAATGCTCCCAAACTTTACTAACCATCTCAGCAAATCATACCGTCACAAGTTAGCGAGGCGCTGATCAAAGCAAGCCAAACCTGCCCATCACGCGTCAAAGCAGGAGGCTGGAGTTCTCATGTTGATGGAGCAGTAGCTGTAATCAAATCTCGCACTATTGAACAATGGCAGTCATCTTTAGGGAGAGAAATGTTCATCGCAGTTAGGGCTCACATGGTAACCAACTTCTCCACCTTGTCGGGGCCGCAATATCTAACCTTGTACAGACAATCCACTGTATAGTGAACTCGAAATATGTGGACCCTGGGGTAGATTGGATGGTATGTGATGAATTACTCATTGTTCTTGAGCTTTTTCTCATTCTAACGGTACCTCACAGGGTATCACCGCCGACGACCCAGTCTTGGAATCCTACTCTGCTGCTAATCTCAAGATGGCGAAACTCCGAGCAGACAACGATATTATAACGACTGCTCGAGTCCGAACAGCAGAAAACATCGGAAGGGCTCTTGAGCTTCTACGACAGGCGGAGGCGTTGGACAAAGAATACATCGAGTGGATGAACAATCTACCCCCGACATGGCAAATAAAGACTGTGGGTTGGGTAGAGGGCGAGGCATCCGACCTGATGGACTCAGCCGTGCATCCCGGACGGGTAGACACTTTCGAAAATCTCTCGATAGCATACCACTACAACGTAGTCCGGGGCTGCCGCCTGTTTGTCTGGACCACTATCCTCCGCTGCGTAGCATGGCTCGGTGATCACGGCGATTATAGACTGTCGCCGGAATACAAAAGGGCATCTCAGATATGCCACCAGCTCATCGAAGAAGTCGTTGCCAGCATGCCTTACTTTTTCGGATGGAATCGCGGCAAAGATCCCGCGATGTCTGACAGTGCGAATTTTGGCTGCGGGTCCAGCGATCCAACATCTACGAAAACCCTTGCTGGCGTCCTCGGCATGTGGCCCATCTTCGTGGCTGCATCTTCAGACTTCGCATCGCCATCGCAGCGAGTCTTCCTACTTGGCCGACTAAAGCACATCTCGGAGAGCATGGGCGTCAACCAAGCGCTCATCATGTTCCAGGCGAGTAGAGTCTATTCTCATCAAACATCCTTCAGACCCCCAACTAACATCTCCAAGGCCAAATTCTTGCACCCCTCGATTTACATCGCGCGAGAGCGCGTACCTCCTCACCCATTGACATGCGACACTGCCAATACCCCCGTCACAACATCCACCGCAGCCACAGCCACAGCCGTTCCAACTCCCTTCATCCCAGAAGTCTCCGTGTCACCCCTGATCATCTCACAAGACCCAACCTGGCTGGAATCCCCCATCTCAGAGCACCTCTGGAGTTCCTCCCCGGAAAGCACTCATTCCACATCCAACTGGACCCCCAAGAAATTCATCGAGCTGCCTTACTTGCAGCCCGACGTATGGTTCCCAGAAATTTCGGCGACGCAGGAGTTGCCGTTTGGGCATGTACTCTCGATGGAGTATGAGAGGACTCATAAGCCGCATCAGCATGCTTGGTTTGGAGCGGTTACTAGCGCATGAGAGATTGTTATTATCTTGACATCTTCCGGTAATTTTTTGAGTAGCGGAAAATTCAATCCGCATTTCTGGAGCTCTATTAGAGTAGCAGTTGATGGTCACGCGGAAGCTTCTGATGAGTGTGGTTGATTGACTTGTATCCTCTAGAACTAGGAATTGGGACGAGGTTGTAATAAGAATTAGTGCCAAGGCCTGAGGTCAGTGCACTACCAAGTCTGGCCAGTGCACCCTGCTCTCCTTACACTTTACCTAACAACAATCCGAAAATATAAGGCGTTGATGTGGATTTACAGCATATCTTAGGCTTCTCGATAATTTTATTATATATAAATAAATAAAGAACCATCGAATTTCTAGCCCTACTATGAAAATGCATCCCTGGCTACAACCTCGTTCCTACATAATAAGCTCCGATTTTCAGAAAAATATAAAGATGCAGTCAATTGGATTTGTCCTTATTCTCCCTATCATCCATCCGTCAAGATCCCGATATTGCATTAGGCTCCGGTCTGCTAGCTGGCTGTTAGCCTATATATCCGTTTACCAGCATCAATATTCAAAAAAATATGTTCGCTTGTGTATCAGTACAATAAAGCATAAAGATCAACGATATACGGTCAGCTGAGACTAAGAGACGAGACGACCAGCTGCAGACTCATCTCTCTTCGCTGTAAAGATACTTGCGAGATATACAGGCCGTGAAAAGTTAGAGGGCCGGGAAGCGCTCTTCACTTACTTTTATATTAATGATTATTTAATAGTGATATTGGGTTTCGCTTATTACTCGCTTAAGGCTAAATCTCTGCTGATCAAATGCTTAGCTTCAGTATTATTTTATGCTTGCTTGCAAGTTTACGGTTCGGACTTTTAATGCTGAGATCTGGCTTAGGAATAAACGGATGGAGATGAAGATAGAAATACAAGAGGTAATGAGAGTCGAGAATTTATTGTACGCAAACTACGCTACCGGATTCTATTAGGAAGCTTGGTTGAGGTGAGAATCCGCCACGGATATTAATACCACCAACCTCGGACGCGAATGTTGTAAGATACTGACTTCAGTTCAAGTATAAATATGAAGCCAAGCAAGTGAAATAATGGCAAGAGAAACCGGACTTCTTTTGCAGGATTCGCTTGGCATTTATACCTAGCTATATATGTATCAGCATATCTACGGAAACCTACATCATTAGATACGCTCAAACCCACAGCTTAAGGTATTTTCCAGACGCAGACAAGATCTTCGCCTCCGCACCTGTATATATGGATATATATTATATATTCACATAACTGAATGTCACGAGCGCGGGTAGAACTCGCGCCACTCGGCCATCGGATCAAAAGACCACAGTGTACAGCCATGCCGTACACGTTCTACCCCGATACTATATAGTTGGCCAGCTTACGCATGACACGGATCTTGACGTCTCACAAAGCTATTATACATAGTATACAATCATCTAGCAACCAAACATGAACACGCCAACTTCGTCCGATCAAGCAAGCTCTCGCGTAGCTAGATAGAAGCCATATAAATCAGATGCATGTATCTGTATGAACGGGGTCGCGCGAGGGTCGACCGTCGTACGCCTAGGCCACACATCTACTACGCGGGCTAAGATCTTAACGGCAAAAAAAGAAAAAGAAAAAAAAAAAACTACCATCTCGCGACTTGAAATTCCGATTCCGAAGCGGGCGCGGCTAGAGTAGGGTAGGGTAGGGTATTAATCCATTAGCATATCGAGGCCCGAGGGGAAGCAACATTAGTCGACGACTATTTGCAACATGAATAACGCTCAGGTTTTTGAAGAGGAAGTAAGATCTATATCTTATTTCTGGTTTTTTTTTTTTTTNTTTTTACAAAAATTTAAAAATAAAAATAAAATAAAATAAATAAATAAATAAATAAATAAATAAATAAAATAAATAAATAAATAAAAAATAAATAAATAAATAAATAAATAAAATAAAATAAAATAAATAAATAAATAAATAAATAAAATAAAAGAAGATAAAGAAAAATAAAAATAGAA